TACACAAATTTGTCTCATTTTTGTGCTTTTTCTCATTAATTGCACCTTAGCTAAATTTACCTTAGTTCCAAATGCCCAAAATCTCTATAGGAAATGGCTTGGTTAACCATTGACCAAACTACACAAATTTGCCTCATTTTTGTGCTTTTTCTCATTAATTGCACCTTAGCTAAATTTACCTTAGTCCCAAATGCCCAAAATCTCTATAGCAAATGGCTTGGTTAACCATAGACCAAACTACACAAATTTGCCTCATTTTTGTGCTTTTTCTCATTAATTGCACCTTAGCTAAATTTACCTTAGTCCCAAATGCCCAAAATCTCTATAGCAAATGGCTTGGTTAACCATAGACCAAACTACACAAATTTGCCCCCTTTTTATTCCCTTTCTCATTAAACGCACCTGGGCTAAATTTACCTTAGTTCCAAATGCCCAAACTCTCTATTGTAAGTGACTTGGTTAACCATAGACCAAACTACACAAATTTGCCTCATTTTTGTGCTTTTTCTCATTAATTGCACCTTAGCTAAATTTACCTTAGTTCTAAATGCCCCCAAATCTCTATAGCAAATGGCTTGGTTAACCATAGACCAAACTACACAAATTTGCCTCATTTTTGTGCTTTTTCTCATTAATTGCACCTTAGCTAAATTTACCACAGCTCCAAATGCCCAAAAATCTCTATAGCAAATGGCTTGGTTAACCATAAACCAAACTACACAAATTTGCCTCATTTTTGTGCTTTTTCTCATTAAATGCACCTTAGCTAAATTTACCTTAGCTCCAAATGCCCAAAAATCTCTATAGCAAATGGCTTGGTTAACCATAGACCAGACTACACAAATTTTCCTCCATTTTGTCCCTTTTCTCATTAAATGCACCTGGGTTAAATTTACCTTAGTTCCAAATGCCCAAACTCTCTATTGTAAGTGACTTGGTTAACCATAGACCAAACTACACAAATTTGCCCCCTTTTTGTCCCTTTTCCCATTAAATGCACCTGGGCTAAATTTACCACAGCTCCAACTGCCCAAAAATCTCTATAGCAAATGGCTTGGTTAACCATTGACCAAACTATACAAATTTGCCTCATTTTTGTGCTTTTTCTCATTAATTGCACCTGGGCTAAATTTACCTTAGTTCCAAATGCCCAAAATCTCTATAGCAAATGGCTTGGTTAACCACTGACCAAACTATACAAATTTGCCTCATTTTTGTGCTTTTTCTCATTAATTGCACCTTAGCTAAATTTACCTTAGTCCCAAATGCCCAAAATCTCTATAGCAAATGGCTTGGTTAACCATAGACCAAACTACACAAATTTTCCTCCATTTTTGTGCTTTTTCTCATTAATTGCACCTTAGCTAAATTTACCACAGCTCCAAATGCTCAAAAATCTCTATAGCAAATGGCTTGGTTAACCATTGACCAAACTACACAAATTTGCCCCCTTTTTATTCCCTTTCTCATTAAATGCACCTGGGCTAAATTTACCACAGCTCCAAATGCCCAAAAATCTCTATAGCAAATGGCTTGGTTAACCATAGACCAAACTGCACAAATTTGCCTCATTTTTGTCTCTTTTCTCATTAACTGCACCTTAGCTAAATTTACCTTAGTTCCAAATGCCCAAAATCTCTATTGCAAGTGGTTTGGTTAACCATAGACCAAACTACACAAATTTGCCTCATTTTTTGTGCTTTTTCTCATTAATTGCACCTTAGCTAAATTTACCACAACTCCAAATGCCCAAAAATCTCTATAGCAAATGGCTTGGTTAACCATAGACCAAACTACACAAATTTTCCTCCATTTTTGTCCCCTTTCTCATTAATTGCACCTGTGCTAAATTTACCTTAGTTCCAAATGCCCAAAATCTCTGTTGCAAGTGGTTTGGTTAACCATAGAACAAAATACACAAATTTGCCCCCCTTTTGTCCCTTTTCCCATTAAATGCACCTAGGCTAAACTTAACTCAGCTCCAAATGCCCCAAAATCTCTATAGCAAATGGCTAAACCTTAAACTACTCATTGTATTTATATACCTCCCTTCTCTCCAAGAGGCAACTCTAGCCAGCATCCAAACAGAAAACATTTCAAAGGTACAATATTAACAGTGAAATTAATAATGCTCGTGAGGGAGAGAGCCAGGTACACACCAGGTGGAGGCAGAATCTGCTTTAATCCGTTACCCACCTCCAGTATGACCCAGACCCCTCAGCTTTTTTTTTTTTTGGTACAAATATGAACCATGGCTAATTTTACTTTAACCTGCGGTTCAACTCTCTGGAAACAGGCACTAGCCAGCATTCAACCAAAGCCCCCCGCATTTGGCATTAAAAAAAACCCCTTATAAATATGAACTACGGCTAATTTTCGTTCAAAAACAGACGTCAACTTACTTTTTGGAACCAAACGCCCGCAATGCTCCTTCGTTGCTGGGTTGGGGCCAGGGCTTGCGCTCGCTGGCTGCCCAACAGAAGCACGCCCCCTCGGAGAAACGCGAGGAGGCATGCAACGCGAGCCGCTCTTGCGGCTCTTTAAACTTCAGCTGGAAAAGAGGTGCTGTTCTTATATTTCGCGCCAGGCGGGCCCACCAATCAGAGAGCGCCTTCATCTTTAGCCGTAGCCAATGAGAGCCCTCTCCACAATTGCTGCCCTTTTTTTTTTTGTTCTCGGCAGCTGAGGCGCAGTGGGCGGAGCTTCGAATGAGCGCGCGCTCCCTCCCTCCCTCCCTGAATGGAAGGGACCTTGTAGGTCATCTAGTCCAACCCCAGCCAAGCAAGAGACCATACATCATTTCTGACAGGTGGCAGTCCAGACTCTTTTTGAAAGCTTCCAGTGATGAAGCTCCCACAAGTTCTGAAAGACAATCTGGTTGATTGTCCTCACTGTCAGAAAATTTCTCCTTATTTCTAGGTTGAATCTCTCCTTGATCAGTTTCTATCCGTTATCCCTTGTGTTGCCTTCAGGTGCTTTGGAAAATAATTTGACCGTCTAATAATAATTATAATAATAATAAAGTTGGAAGGGACCTTGGAGGTCATCTAGTCCAACCCCCTGCTCAGGCAGGAAACCCTAATACCAGCACCCACCTCTCTTTCTTTTTTTCTTTTTTTTGGGGGTGGGGTGGGGAGGGCTATCCAAAAACAAAAGAGGATGGAAGTTGAAGAACAGGCGAAAACAGCAAACGAATACTTCCAAAACTATAATTATCTCAGCAATTGCTGGCTGTGGAATTCTGGGAGTTGAAGTCCACATGCCTTAAAATTGTCAAGGTTGAGAAACACTGTAAATGCAAGAGCACAAGATTGCAGGTGTGCACAGGGCTTCAATTCATTTTGTTGAAGGAGAGTGTGCTTTGCTTGTTTATATCTTTAAGGAAAGAGTCACAGATCTGTACCTCTGTGGATTTCAGTCCTGGAGGTTTAAGATACGGGTCTTCTGTGGAAGTCAAAGAAGTCTTGTCAGATTTAAAATACTAGCTGTTATTATCTAAATAACAGCTTTACATTTAAATTTATTATTTAAATGATTTGTAAAGCCACTCATCTCAACAAGTCACTCAAGAAGTGCCAGCAATAAACAATAAAGCAAACAAATACAAATAATAATTATTTCATATATTTATATAAAAATGACAGGAGTTGTCAACTGCCATTTTGAGAGATTTTCCCCATTCAATCCATGGTAAAACTTTGAGTGGATTTACCCAACAATCTAAACTATGATATGATTTACATGTTTGTGGTTTAGCATGTTTATATTCTATGCTCTATGAGTCTATGGCTTAGTTTATGTTGTGCAAAGCCAGTCAACTGATTGATTCCTCAAGCTATGGCTCATTACGTGTGAAACAAACTCTGTAAATTTAAGCATTTTTAAAAGCATTGATGCTACTGTACTTAATCGGTGTTCTCTAAAAGTCTGAATTTGGCTGTAAAAAGAATAACAGAGCAGGCTGAGGATTATAAAGAAGGTGAGGAAACAAACCTGCTCAATACTTTCCATTTGAGTTGATTAAATCATATAGAATTAACTGGCCATTGGAAGGGAAAGATTTCTCAGTTCATAATAATATGGTAGATAAGCTGGGAGTGTGAATGGAAACAACCAGCACTTGGCAGCAAATCTAGTGGTGAGTACTTAATGTTCTGCCTTCAAGAGGAGGAAATAAAACACCACAAAGGGCATGAACCCTTGATTTATGTGGCTGAAATCTCACAGCCAGTAGTGCATAGAGTAACTGAAATGCTGGCTCAGAGGTGGGGGGGAGATATATATGAGATCCTTCTTTTCTTCTGCTCACCTACAATTCTATACTGTATGCTTTTTTTTAAAAAAAAAAGTATCTATTTCAGCAACTCACCTACCTGAACAGCAAATAAACTCAACATTATAAAAATAAACATCAGGTTGAGGAAACCAACATTGTGCATTACTATGTTTTCCAAGACAGTTGAACATCTGCATAGAGTTTGCTTGTAGCTCACCAGCTTTATTGGAGGGTCTTCCATTATGTGCTTATTTATTATCCTTCCTCTAGATTTTTAACAACTTTTTCTATGTGCATTAAAGAATCCTTGCAGGTTACAAAGAAATCAAATCCAGTTGGTTATTTTGATCCATTTCCATAATGAGCTGTCCAGTTTACAAAATCCTGATGTAATCCAGTAAAGCTATACTGGTGTAATCTTTCTGTTCCGAAACATTAATCATGATCAGAATTGATAGTTTCATGCACTAGGACTATCTCCATTATTTGATTAGAGTTAAATGCATATCATAAAGTAGGCTATGATCAGCTGATTTCTGCTACAATAATTTAGGATTGCAGCTAACTATACCAAAACAGATTCTATTCCCCCCCCCCCCTTGGATATGTGGGAGAGGCATGCTACAATGCTACAGCTTTTGATGTGCTGTGCCTTTAAGACTATGTACGTATTCTGAGCTTTCTGATATTTCTCAGATCTTGGAGTGTCTGATGCAGACTGGGATGGAAACAGACTCCACTTCAACATCTATCAGTTTATAACTCTCTTTATATCTGGTTTCTAATCATCTTTCCCCAGCTTCCTGCAACTTGACTACTCTTTTAAAAAAAAATCAGAAAGTTCTAAGATGTCATTTGGAGGTAGCAGTTCAGCTGCGAAAAACACAAGAACCTGCAAGAGATCGAAAACTGTGAAGCGACATGCCAGCATCTACACCTATCCAGAACCACCCCACAGGTGAGGAATTGATTTTCTGTTCTATTCAATCAAACCGCTGAAACATGGAATTCTTCGGGTGCTGTTTTTCTATTGCCTTGGCAAGGCAAATACCACCTGTCAGAATTCCCACTTCAGCACAACTATTGATGGACAGCTCTCAATAGCCAAAATCTGATAATGCCGTTCAGATGGGTAGGAAGAAAGCATACATACATACAGCAAGTCCGTGCTGATACTGGACTTTAGCCGTATGAAATTTCTCAGCTTTGAAATTCAAAGCAGAGTTAAACCAAGTATTTGGGTTTGTTTAATGGAGCAATGTCACCCACGTTCATGATTTGCTTGGCATAGATTCACACATAGGTAAGAGAAGGAAAACCAGACTTTTTTTTTGGGGGGGGGTGCAAATAATAACTATGTAAGCCTTCCTCCTAAGCCAGTGGCAGTTTGGACTAAAATACATGGACTAGCTTTGGCACTGAAATGGTAAGCTAGGCAATAAGCAAATCTGTGTTTTTGTGACCGTTTCTGAGAGAAGCATTGATCATGGTTTCCCTTATGTGTGTTTCTTGTGGGGTCGGGCTATTTTTAGCAACTCAGATGAAGATAATGGGGATGAGAAGGTCGACAGCAATGATCCGGAACAGATCTTCCAGAACATACAATTTCAGAAAGAAATTATGGCCAACATTTGTTGCCGGCCATGGCCCATGAGGCAAAAACTCCGAGCATTGAGGTAACGGGGTGACTTGTGGAGAATGACTGGTGTGAAACAATTGTTTTAAGATTGCAAAGCCAATGCAATCATGTTCAGTGATTGCATCTCCTTGGAGAAAAAGGCATCTGAGCCGCAGGCTACGTATCTCTCGGATTTATAGCCAACCCTTTCTCCAAAAATGAAAGGTAGCCTATATTGTACTCTTTTTTGTCTATTCTTTCCTTCACCAACAATGAAGATGAAATAAAGTGGTTGGCCTTAAGTCCTCCAGGCAGTTCTATGGCTGAAGGGGGATTAGAACTTGGGTCCCCTTCTCCAATAGCTTCACCCTTGTACCACCCTGGCTGTTGGGCTGACAGGAAGGTTTGGCCCATAGTCACCAAGGGACGTTCTTGGGCTGAGTGGGGACTTGAAGCTGCGTCCCTTATGTTCTAGTTCAATACCTGTGCTGTGTGGTGCAGTCTTCTTTTAATTTGCTTTCACGGTCACAGCAAGTTAGCCACTCTGCATCCATTGTGAACTGGGTGGTCCTATAAAAATGTAGATGAAATAAATGATCAGCTCACAGAGCTCAGCTCTGTCCTTGTGATTTTCCTGAAAGTCTGGAGACTGGGTGGTGGACCCCTGGCTCCTTAAATTTTATTTCCCCCCCCTTGCTCTCTTCTCTGGTCCACAGTTGTAAGGGTTGGTAGCTCCATAACAAACAATAAAGCATCTGTAACTGCTGATGGGTAACCTTCCCTTTCCCTCTGATTTTTCTAAAGGAAGGAACATTAAGAGTCTCCCATTTGTTATAAAAATAACAAGGGCAAAGTGCCTTTGGCTGCAGAAAGTCCCACTCCTTGGTGCCATTTGTTTAATGTTGTTTACGAAAAGGGAATGGCCGGAACCAGACCCTATAATGAGATTTGGGTCATCAAAAAACCCACCGCTTTCTTCCCTTGGCAGACAAGCTAAAGAGATTGTATTGAAGTACGAAGGTCGGCTGACTCGGACAAGAGGCTATCAAGCTGCTGGAGCAGAGGTTGGTCTGGTTTTCATTAAAAGCTCCAGAGCTCACTTTTCATGAAAATGAGCCTAGCAATTCTATTTACAAGAGAGAAATATTTCCAATGATATCATTGTCATCGCAGTGAAATTGAGAAATGCTGTTTACAGATCTCCTTTCCTGGCAAGGCTTTCTACCTTTAATGGTTCTATCAGAGAAAGATTCATTGGGGAAAGTTCATCTATTGTGAATATTATTTAGCAATTGAACACCAACTATCTATCATCCAAAGCCTTTGCAAGGCTGAGCTGTTTCATTTGGCTTGCTGAAGTGGTTGCGTTATTGGTTTTTAGTCAGAAGGCTTTCTGAAATTTGAGCCTTTGGACCATTTTTTCTTTAATTAAAATACTTCCAACAGCAGCTATACAGCTGGGCAAGCATTATAAAATTCATTAGCCTTGATTGCAGAATAGATTATTGATGTATTGAGTTGGTTTAGAACACATTCACCAACATTTGAATGCCAATGTGTTGATATTAATCAATGGAATTTGTGAACTACCTGGAAAAGTTGGAGAAACACACATTAAAAGGAAAAGTGATTTTTCTGCTTGTGTTTTGGTTCAGAAATACAATATTATATAGACTCAACTGAATGGCAAAGTTAATTATTGTAGCTACTATATATCTTGTTTTATATTTCAGTATTAAAATTCTGTGAAAATTACAGAATTAAAATATTACTGATATTACTGATATGCAAGATAAAAATATTTCAAGAACATAATTACTAAAGCAAATATATTAAGTAAAATGATGGTGAATTAGAGGAAGAAAATAACAGAAAATCAGCGAGGCAATGCATCATAGACTGTATGTGTGTTCTAAGTGAGTGTGGCTATTTTGCTTTTCCAGCTATGGAGAAAATTTATTAGGCTTGCATATAACTTCATGGTCATCTTTATTCCTTGGGAAATGAGAATCAAGAAAATTGAAAGTAAGTATACATGTCTTGGAAAAATTCAAAACATTGAATTAAAAAGAAAATGCTAGGAATTGGGAGGTTTTTGCTGGGCTAATTCAAATCCAGTTTCCATAACTTTGTCATATGTCAGATTTTAAGACAAATCTATTTCAGTGTTGGAGCTACGATCCTACGCATGCTTTATCAGAGTAAATTCCATCCAAATCAGTGAGACGTACATTCAATAAGCATGTAAAGGGCTGAGGTAGAAACCATTGATGATTGTCTATGTAGGATGAGATGAAATACTGATTGTTTACTAGTAAGCGTGGTCTCAACATCATGATTGTCTTTGGCTCTGAGTTACTTGCAGGACTGCATCTCCTCGCTAGAGTTGACATGACTACATCGGTCATGTCAGGAAAAGTAGCAGCTGGCTGTCCCCCATTTCTGGAGAACAGATGGACTGAAGCTTGGAAGGGTTGCTTTTCAGTGAGAGAAATGACATCCTGTTGAAAATTCCTTTGTCTCCAGCACTGTCTGCCTACTGGCAGAAGCTGAAAACATCTTTTCTTGACGACTTTGGGGGCCTGATAGGATGTGTTTCTTTGTGTTTAGGTCACTTTGGCTCAGGGGTTGCCTCTTACTTTATCTTTTTGCGATGGCTGTTTGGCATCAACATTGTTCTCACCATAATGACAGGAGCCTTTGTGGTTTTGCCAGAAGTAAGTGATTCTTTTAGATTTCCATATGGAAACCAACACTTGTTTTAGACCAAGAGCGGACCATTTGACCTTGACTGAAGACCCTGAAATGTCTCAAAAGTATCTTGAAGGGACTTGAGGACATCGTACAGGGTGTCATATGAGCTGGATACTTGAAATGGTCTGGAGACTAATTCAATAAACTGTTTTCTATATGACCTGGGTGGTGTAAAAGTACTGTAAAATCTACCTGTCCATCTCCCCACCTAATTTCCAGACTTGGTTTTTCTTACAGATCTTGGCTGGAGATGCTTTTGGAAGTACTCCCAACAAGCAGATCCCCAGTGATCAACTTCATTCTGCACAGGATCTGGATACCATCTGGTCTTTGGGGGCAAGCAGAAAATCTTCCCTAGTAGACACACACACACACACACACACACACACACACACACACACACACTTCTTAGATAGAAGTGCTACGGATAACTATGTTATTTCTATTTCTGTAGGGTTACCTTCAGTATTCCGTTTTGTTCTATGGATACTATGGACAGACAAGGAAAATTGGGAGTGCTGGTTACCGGCTGCCCCTTGCCTACTTCCTTGTCGGAATGGCGGTGTTTGCCTACAGTTTTATCATTCTGTTGAAAAAGTAAGGTGGCACTTTTCATGGCAACTACTTATTTTTTTTAAAAAATAAATAAATTATTCGACTTTATCCAGTTTGTTCACTAGGAACTGGAAGCAAACAAACTGAAAAACTAAGGAGCGTGCCTAAACCAAAATGTAATGCCTTTATGAACTCAGTCATTAAATGACCTACAGCAATTTTAAGTTCTTCAGTTCTCTTCGTTAGGCAAGATAGCAAACAAAACCGAATAGAAATGGGCTAAAAATAATGGAAGTGTGTACCGATGAGATTGCAGTTATGATATTAACTAGAATTAGTAGGTTGAGATACCTCAATCCAAGTCCTTCAAGCCAACACAGTGCTAGGCTGCATTAACAGATGGATAGACTCAAGATCACATGAAGTGTTAATACCACTTTACAATGCCTTGGTAAGGCCACACTTGGGATACTGCATCCAGTTTTGATCATCACGATGAAAAAAAAGATGTTGAGACTCTAGAAAGAGTACAGAGAAGAGTAACAAAGATGATTAGGGGACTGGAGGCTAAAGCATATAAGGAACGGCTGCTGGAATTGGGTATGTCTAGTTTAATGAAGAGAAGGATGAGGGGGGACATGATAGCTGCGTTAAAATATCTCAGGGGCTGCCACAAAGAAGAGGGAGTGAAGCTATTCCCCAAAGCAACTAAAGGCAGGACAAGAAGCAATGGATGGAAACTAACCAAAGAGAGAAGCAACCTAGAACTAAGGAAAAATTTCTTGACAGTGGAATTAATCAGTGGAACAATCTGCCTCCAGAAGCTGTGAATGCTCCAACACTGGAGGTTTTAAGAGAGACTGTACAGCCATTTGTCTGAAATAGTATAGCGTTTCCTGCCTGAGCAGGGAGTTGGACTAGATGACCTCCAAGGACCCTTCCAACGTTGTTGTTGTTTTATTATTATAATTATCATCATCATCATCATCATCAATCATCATCCCTAGTTTGAAGGATAATAATGTATGGGTCATTTGATTGTTATTTTCCAGAATGGCCAAAAATTCCAGAATGAGCCTTGCTAGTGCTTCTGATGAAAACTACACCTTTTGCTGGCGAGTGTTTTGTGCTTGGGACTATTTAATTGGCAACCCTGAGGCTGCAGAGAGCAAATCCGCTGCCATAGTGAACAGCATCAGGGTAAGCTAACCAACATTCAAGTGGAAAAGAACCGGTGCCTAGGATACAGTAGACAAACAAAAATACTATAAAGTTGTATTGTGTGGAGTCATTAGAAGGATATTGAACGTAAGTCACACAAAACCTTTGTTGGAGTGGACAACTTTAGGGCCTGTTTATTTATATTTATATTATTTATTTATAGGCTATTTTGTCTTTGTTTCTTTTAAGGAAGCTATATTGGAAGAGCAGGAAAAGAAAAAGAGCACAAATCTGTACGTATGCATATAATTTTTCCCTCTACTGATATACAGTATGACTGATCACGGACAGACAGAAGCCAGCTCTGTCTCTTAAGCTGTTATATAAACTACTGAAATGATCTGAGTCGCTTTTCTGCTTCCTGTGTGCTCTTCTCCATATTCAGAGCGGTGACAATAAGCTTAAGAATCATTGCAAATATCTTGGTCCTTCTCTCACTGGCTGGAAGTATTTACATCATTTATTTTGTCGTGGATCGATCCCAGAAGTTGGAAAGGATGAAGAAAGAGCTGACCTTGTGGGAAAAAAATGAAGTGAGAGCACATTTTCTTAGCTTCAGACTCCTTGTCCAAAATGAGATAATCTTGATCCTTTTCCTCTTTAAGTGAGCTACACATAATGGCTGTTTATGAGCCATTATAATGACGAGATGACGATATCATACTGGACACATACTCTATGTGCCTGTGTTTTCAGATGCTTATTCTCCAGCTTTTCTGGAAGGGCCATGGCAGAAACGTCATTCCATTTGCATTTTGATACCAACTTACTTTGTGTTAGACTTTCAAGCCAATGAATAAACCAAAACTTGGACTGTATGGTGTTCAGAATGTTTGCGCTCTCACTTTTAAGACATCATGTAAGAATACGTTAAGAAAATGCAAGTCCCCAAATGCATAACTGGCTGAAAATATTAACTACATGCATTCTATCGTGGAAAATCTCTTGATAAAATGACTTTCAAGAAAACGGGTGCGAGTAGAAATACCCATACAAAAAACAGATATCGCTCTCTCGAAATGCTTTTATGGCAAGTGTTTGTGCCTTGGTGCATTTTTGAGTTGTGTCACATAATCTGTCAAGGATGAAGTTCTAGTAAAGAGCTCTATTCGGATATACGTGATGGTTTAATAATTGCATAAAAATCAAGCGCTTTTTCCCCTTGAAAATCAGACATTCTTTTCTTTGTTTCCAGGTGAGCGTAGTTGTTTCCCTGATTACCATGCTTGCACCATCTGCCTTTGAACTGATAGCTGCCCTGGAGATGTATCATCCCAGAACTACTCTCCGCTTCCAGCTCGCCAGGTGTGCATCACATCCACTTAGCACAGGGGTCTTCAAACATGGCCCTTTTATGACTTGTGGACTTCAACTCCAAGAATTCCTCAGCCAGCGTGCCTGGCTGAGGAATTCTGGGAGTTGAAGTCCACAAGCAGAGGTCTTCAAACTTGGCCCTTTTATGACTTGTGGACTTCAACTCCCAGAATTCCTCAGCCAGCGTACCTGGCTGAGGAATTCTGGGAGTTGAAGTCCACAAGTCCTAAAAGTGGCAGGTTTGAAGACCCCTGACTTAGCAGAATAAAAATGGCCTCAATCATTTCCACCTGAAGTGACAGATGGAATGGGGTGGACTTGCAGTGAAGAAACATTTGCCATTTTTTGCTTCTTGGTTGTTTTTTTTTTCCAGAGTGTTGGTCTTATATTTGGGAAATCTCTACAGCTTGATCATTGCACTTCTGGATAAAGTGGATAGCATGAGCATTGTTGTAAGTTGCAAGTCTTTATCATTCTGGGTAGCAAGATGATCTTGGTGCTTTGCAGTAATCCCCTTGAGAACAGTAGGGATTTTGGTGAACTGAAAAACTTCAGCACACAGTTGAGGCAGAATTACACATCTGTACCTCTTCAGTATTTCGTTGTAAAAACGATAAAGTGTCAACGCTCTCATTTTTTTGCCTTCCCCTTTTACTTGTAATAGCTATAAAAATGTTACCTCAAAATATTATCTCATGTGGGTTGGAATATAACAGAAATTCAATCCACACAATTCATAAACTTGACATAAAAGCATAAGCTGCATTGCTGTAGGGAAAAAAGAAGAAGTAATATATAAGAATAATACAATCTTCGATTAATTGTCTCCATCCCCTAACCAGGGATGTTTGGGCTGTTGTGATTACATTCCAAAAAAGTGACATTGGAAAGACAAAGTTAAATTAAACCAAAGCAAGTTTAATTTAAATGTTTTAAATATTTTCGTTCCTCTTGACACACGGGCAATTATAATTAAGCAGCAATTGTGGAGCAGGAAGGAGACTCCAGGCTGTATTACAGGGGTGTCAAACTGCCGGCCCGCAGGCCAGATGCATCATGCCGAAACTGCGCCCACCCCATTGCCGGCAATGGAAAAAAAGTTGTGACACGGGTTTGACACCCCTGCTCTATTACCTAGTTTTTGGCAAAGTCCAAGTATTCTTGAGGCTGCCGACTGTGACTTAAAAGCTTTAAACAGGATTGGGGAAGTGGAAAGACCCACTCTCTGAGTTTCCATTTCCCTATATGATTGCAGGAGGCTGAGGTTCATAAAAATGGAAGCAACGCCGTGGGTACCACCACCTTCTTAGCAGCAAAAACCCTCCTAGAGCACAGCTTTTCAACCCCAATTCCAAATGTGCAAATGATTAAGAATGGCACTTTCTTTCTATCTGAGAATCACACCCAAAGCTACGCTCACCTGGTTGAACTCAACAGTACAGCACCTTACGACGCCAACAGCGAAAGTCACCAACACCAATGCTGGGAGACCTATGTTGGTCAAGTAGGTCTCATCCTTTCCCAAGCTATTTTCTTCTTCCACTTATGGCACCAAAACTGAAGAAATGTTTGGCAGGAAGATCAACGGAGACCTGTCTTCCCATCCTTACTATTATTGCCTCTGCTGTTTCTAAAGTAGCAAGCACGCTGCTTATTTTTTTTATAAATACTCCACTTACAAATATGTTATGCATTTCAGTGTTAAATGCCTAGGTAGTAATACACATTTTGGTGTGTGTGTGTGTGTGTGTATTTTTAAAGTGTTACTGTTGGTCATTGCATTATGTTTTGTTTCAGGAGATGTTGAAATTGTCCATTATCGATATGCTGTTCACTGTGGCTAGCATCCTCCTGATTGATTTTTTCCGTGGTCTTTTTGTCCGGTACTTAAGTGACTGCTGGTGCTGGGATCTGGAAAGCAATTTTGTGAGTATAGGTTCAAACAAATAATAAAAAAAGTATAAACTGGAGCATGTTCCATGGAGGTTGTTGTTGTTGTTAATTGCGAAGTCGTGTCCGACCCGTCGCGACTCCATGGACAACGTTCCTCCAGGTCTTCCTGTCCTCTACCATCTTCTGGAGTCCATTTAAATTCACACCTACTGCTTCAGTGACTCCATCCAGCCATCTCATTCTCTGTCCATGGAGGTAGGACTCTTTTTAAAATTTTCCTCCTCCATTGCTTTCGGTGAGTAGTGCAAGGATCGATCCATAATACTTTCAACCAAGAGAGGGCAGTGTGATCTGAACCAATGACTAGAGAGCAGATCTTTAATGCTTTAAAATTTAAATCAGTATTTCTTAAAAGTCTGGACAGAGGACCTCTGAAATCCCCCTGAGACCCTCTCAGGGGGCCTGCAAAAATAAAATTATTTGCCAGCCTATGTTGAAAAATAATAAAACATTTAAATCCCTTCAAACAATCATGAGAAGCGATAGTAGCGGCGAAGACATCAGAATTTGTAATACAGTAAATATTGATAAATATAACCCATGCACACAGAAGCTCTTTCGTCCTGCATAATTTTTAAAAGTGGCAAAGAGAGCAGAGAGGGAAAAAAATGTAAGAAACATTGCCCCCGATGTATCTTTTAAAAATATATATAATAATTTGCTACTAAATCTTTTTCATTGTTGTTGTGCGTTACTTTGCAGCCAGAATATGGGGAATTTAAAATAGCAGAAAATGTCCTGCATTTGGTCTACAATCAAGGGATGATCTGGTAACAAATTAACTTTGTTCTGTTTATCTTAGTGATAGCTAATTTTCGAGGAACTTACATCATATTGCCTTTGAACCGCAGACCAATAACTGCATTCCAAAAAAGAGTTGTACACTGTTAGCTTGTCTGCATTAGTAGTTCCTTCACCGGGGCAATACTTACTTGATGATTGGTCTAGTGTTCATCTTGCTGTTAATCTCTGCTCATATGGGTGATGGCCAAATTCATTTCTTCCTGTTGGCCAAACTCATAAATAACCAAACCCATTCCGAGTGAAGCAAGGAGAAGCTTGTTCATTAATAGTCTACTTCCCAAATTAAAAAACATTATTGATGAGTGGGCCCTGGTTGTTCCCATTCCTAGGATGGGAGCCTTCTTTTCTCCTTGCCTTCCTGCATTCAACGTCCTAAAGCTGATTGGGCTGATGTACCTCAGAAGCTGGGCAGTCTTGACCTGCAATGTCCCTCATCAGCAAGTCTTCCGAGCTTCAAGGTTGGTTACTTCACATGTATCCAGACAGAAACAGCAAAACACAAGCTCTGGTCATGGTTTTCACAATTGTTTGTGAACATAAAAACAAAACAGAAACATCTAAGGATCAAAAAAAATCGAATAGATTAGATATATGAGTTTGGTTTAATTTGACTTGGCTTTTTAAACCTAATAATTAAACTTACTGAGTGTACTGATAGAATGTAGAATCATAAGGCTAGAAGGAACCTCAGTGGTCTGCTAGTCCAACCCCCTGTTTGAGGCAGGAGACCTTATCTCATCCTGATCAAATAATTGTCCATTCTATTTTTCAAAACCTCCAGTGATAAGAGCACCCACAAACTCTGGGAAGCAAGCTGTCCCAATTAAATGTTCTCACTGTCAGAAAATTTCTCCTTATTTCTAAGCTGGATCTCTCCTTCACATGCTTCCACCCATTGCAGTCTTGTCCTGCCCTCTGGCGCTTTGGAGAATAAGTCAATCCTCTTTTTCTCTGTGACAGCTCCTCCACTCCTGGAAGACAGTTGTCATGTCCCCCAACCCTTCCCTTTGATAGGCTAAATATACCTAGCTCCTCTTGTTAATTTCTCTCCTCCAAATTACTGCAGAAAGCTTTGCCAGCATCTTAAAACAGTGACTGGAAGATAAAATATGGAACTTCACCACATTGCAGTGTTGAAGTTATTTCTCCACCTTTTGTTGTTGTTGTTGTTGTTGTTGTGGTTCTAGCAATTGAATGTTTGTGTGATGCTTTTAGAAAGCCAGGGCTAAAATGTGAACCCTTGCGTTCAAACAGGGTTAAGTAAATAGAAAATACATCTATATTTTATCTGTAATAACGTATCCTTATATCTATAAGTCAGTGTTTCCCAAACTTGACAATTTTAAGGTATGAGGACTTCAACGCTGGCTGTGGAATTCTGGGAGTTGAAGTCCTCATGCCTTAAAATTGTCAAGTTTGGGAAACACTGCATAAGTCTACTAAGGTATTACACACTATAAAAATGTTTGCTACTGATAATAATATTAATAATACTACCAACAAATGCTGGTACTTGGCCTTATAGTTGGGATTTGAACGGCCTTGGATTACTAGAGAAGCAGGGGTATGTAATGCTTTATGTAACAATGAGATCTTTCTTTTCAGATCTAACAACTTCTACTTAGCTATGCTGCTATTTATGCTCTTTCTGTGTATGCTCCCAACTATTTTTGCAATTGCTCGCTACAAGCCATCTCTAAACTGTGGCCCATTTAGGTAAGTGGATAGTGGCGTTGCTTCATTTAACATGCTAAGCAATATTCTGCTAACAGACCTACTTTGTGTTAATTTTAAAAAACAACAACAGGAAAACATCTACAAAATCAGAGCTCATTCCACAAATAATGCTATTGGAAGATAGATACTGTAGTCATGGCATCCTGATTTTTCATAATTAGATAGCTCCACGTGTCTTTTATGCATCATTGTCATAAAATGAGGAACATATGCCATAAAAATAAACAATATTGGAAAGTTTGAGTGCAGTAAAGAACTGGGTTGAATTGGGATAGGCTGCTGATCAATGTCTCTCCATTGACTTTATTGACATGGTCTTCTGAGAGTTGAGGTTCAGCAACAGGTGGAGGATCACAGGTCACCTTTCCTCAAAGTGGAGGTAGATAAGAAGCCTTGAGTTCCGCTTGAAAAGGTTTTAATCCCAAGTTGTTTAAGAGGAAACTATCCATGTATGGACTTTATCCCTCTACCTTGTTCAACTGGTAGTCATTTCCCCCCATTCTTCCTAACGTATCTAGTTCAGAGCTTGGCTGTGAACAGAAAATTATTCGGAAATGTTTTAAACGCTGCAGATTTTCTGAGACAACAACTGAATGTTTTCCATCTAGCGGGCAAGAAAAAATCTATGACATTGTGTCCGAAACTATTCGAAACGACTTTCCTCCTTGGTTTAACTCTGTGATGGCTTATATGAGTAGTCCCGTGGTGGTCCTTCCAGCTCTATTATTACTCTTGTAAGTCTAAACACTTTTGTTTGATTTGATGGTCAGTATTTCAAGCGGACTCCAAGCTCTGTGTCCAGGAGAACTTGGCCATGTCGTTATCCTGGGAGAACTTCCATTTTAGCCAGCAAATGGAAGAGGCTGAGAGATCTGCATTTAGATAGCTAATATGTTGGGTGTATGACTAGTGCCTTCTAAATATTAATCAGGTCTGCCCTGCCTTAGCTTCTAAATCCAAACAAGGTGGCCTTGTATTGCCAGTTGCTGAGAAGAAATCTCCTTATTATAGAAACAAATTATTGTAGTTATGTTTATTCAGTTCTTTTAATTTAATGCGATGTAAATCAAAGACATCCCTACTGATATTTTTTTCCTCCTCATATTTCTCTCCACCCCCCCCCCCAGCATGCTAATATATTACCTGCAGAGCATTGCGAGGTCATTAAAATTCACCAACAACCAACTAAGGATGCAGATCCAAACAGTAAGTGCTGACTAAATGTTCATACCATGTTTTTGGTAATTTAAAAAAATAAAATTAATTCTTACCAGAGAGAAGAATGAATCAACGAGTGGTTAGCAGTGCAGATAACTTTTATACCCACAAACTTTATCTGATGTTTGAGCGCAATGTTTTGTTTTGTTTTTCAACAGACGTATTATATAAGGCTGAAGTTTTAACCAGTTAATTTGATATCTGTTGTAGGAAAGAACTGAAGACAAGAAAAAAGTGGTCAAAATGGCAGCAGGTGAGCAAAAACTTCCTTAAGGTGCTTGGCATTATTGGACTGTATGTTCGGTCATCTTTTTCACAAAATGCAATAATAATTGAAAGCAAAAGCTGTCAAATGAAACATAGGGAGACTAGCCTAGCCATGTTTATCTGCTGCAGAAAGAACCAGAAGAAGATTGTGACAAATTTCAGACCGACGCATTAATTAGAGAATCAGCTTTTGAAACTCCCAAGATGGAGCTCCAATTAGAATTCAAGAATTTTGGGCAACCTGTTCTCACTGAGCTTTGAATTTAACAGTGCCCTAAACCATAGTTTGTTTTACTTTGGTTATAGCTTGTAATGCTGGGATGTCATGGTTTATGGTTTAGGATGATGTGTGAATCCAGCTTCTGATTCTTGTTTAACAAGCCAGGAATAAAGCATGTCACATTTTAACATGATGGGCAAATTCAACTGGAGGATGCTGGTTGAGTTACTAAGGTTGTGCTTTGGATCAAATATGTGCTACGCCATTGATCAGTTCCAGCTGATGACGGGAAGCAATGACTGATTTTTTTTCCTAAACTTTTATTTTTTAGCTAGAATCCAAAACGTAGAAGGAAATGGCAAGAGGCCTGAACAGGAGACTGACGTCATCAGTCAGGAGTCTTCAGCTCGCTCCTCAACCCCTAGGAAAAATGGCAGTGTAGTGAACTTTGAGTCTCCCAAACCCAGCCAAATACAGACAATATCTCAATCAGTTCCACCCCCTGAGATTCTGAAAGCAGTGGGCCCATCCCCAGCAAAAGATAATCCAGGTGTTCCAACACCTGTAGCACCGATACCTGTCACTCCAACACCTCCTATTCCAGAGATGGTGAAGCCTAGAACAGAACCTTCAATCAACAGGTAAGACCCTTCCCAGAAACTAGAGAAACCAGAGAGAGTGACTGGCGAAAGTTACCCAGTTGGCTTTCATGTGGAACTAGAACTCACCATCTCCTAGTGATTGGCCCATAGTCACCTAGCCAGCTTTCATGCCTAAGGTGGGACTAGAACTCACGGTCTCCTAGTGATTGGCCCATAGTCACCTAGCCGGCTTTCATGACTAAGGTGGAACTAGAACTCACTGTCTCCTAGTGATTGGCCCATAGTCTCCTAGCCGGCTTTCATGCCTAAGGTGGGACTAGAACTCACCATCTCCTAATGATTGGCCCATAGTCATCCAGCCAGCTTTCATGACTAAGGTGGAACTAGAACTCACTGTCTCCTAGTGATTGGCCCATAGTCATCCAGCTGGCTTTCATGACTAAGGTGGGACTAGAACCTGCGGCCTCTTGCTTTCTAGTCTGGTGTCTTAACCACTAGACCAAACCTCTTAGCCATCCCGACTCTCTCTTCTTTCTCAGATACCCCAACCCCATCCATGGGAGTGCTAGTGAACTCTGCAAAGCCAAAGTCTATACTCCTGTAAAGGTGAAGAAGCGCATGGAAGATGCTCATTCAGAACCCTTGTTCAGGAAATGCCCCCCACAAATGAAGCCGGAGTCTCATGGGGCCCCCGGGGGTCCCCCTTTTGTGGGCCGCAGAGCTCACACGGCCAAGTACTACATTGTCAACGAGCATCAGCCCCGCAAAAAAATCCTCCGTGCCACAACCCGGCTGCCAAGGAATGTCCGGATGGATGAGGCAGGGGACTTTGTGGAGTTGTATCCACGTCACATCCGAAGGTATGTGGTTCGAACACCCCGCAGGGCCTACTCCCCTCATTACACTGAGGAGGAAGAGGAAGAAGAAGGGTACAGAAGAGGCGTCACTAAGCAGACTCATCACCGCCCGCGGTCCCTGTCGGATCTCCGAGCCCTCCCCCGCCTCTACATTGGGGAGTGGACCGACAACCAGGTTCTGCCAAGCAGGTCCCTAGCAAAAATGCACTACAAGTCTTGGGAAGATGGTTTCGGTTTGACTTACGGTAGAGGCCCGCACCCCCACCGAAAGATACACTTGAAGAATATTGAATTTGAGCAGCAATATCCGGAACACCCTGGCAAAGCCAAGGCCAAGCCGTCTCCATCTCCCACGGAGTCTGATTCCATCTCTCCTGAATCGAGCAGTGATCAGCTCACCAGTGGCAACGATCAGTACATCCAAGTCCTCCCCAGCAAAGAGAAATATCTGAAATCAGGAGCGAAAGGAACTCCTCAAAAGACAAAGTCTGGTGTGGAGTTGAACCTGGCTGAAATGAATGACCTGATATGTTCCAATGTCTAAAATAATACTGAAGGAAAAGTCTTCATCAGGGTTCAATCAAAGCCGGGAATAAACAACATGGTGACTGCTTTAGAAAGAAGGTTGCAGTTTATTGAAGAGGAGAGCCAGACAGAAAGATGGCTCTGGAAGAAAAGAGAGAGAGCACATGTAGGGAGTGGGTTTTTAGACCCTCTTGGGCTTTTGTTTGGAGTTGTTTCCTGTTCCTGTTTGAGGCTTTGTATTTCCTGCATCATGTATTTTGACCTGAGTTTGTGTGTGCCCCTTTGGCATCTGTGGGTTAATCCTATTATGTCCTGTCCTAGAGTTTGGGTGGGGTATGTAGATTTTAGGTGTCTTTGTCTTCCTAAGCTTCTAGCTGGAGAGCTCCAACCTTCCTGAATGGATTATTACATCAGCATTTCTACAGAGCTGGTTTCTGTTTAGGGGAGGGAGACTTGGGGCTATTAAGAAAAACTGGGTATGCTTTTCTGCCTCTTTAACATTCTTTGAGGAAATATAACATTCTGCCCTTTTAATATTTCCTTCTGGGGGGGGCTGACTTCCCACAATAGGAAGAAAAAAATTGCAATATTTGGGAACTGTGAACTGAGGTACACTCAGAGCTCTGCCGGGTACCCCACAATCCTAAATGTTTTGACTTTGCTTAAGCGTTGTTACATTCCACTTGAGGATGAATGTTGAGTAGTTCCATTCCTGTGACATTTTCTCTACTTGCTTATTCTTGGCTAAAGTATCTTTACTCTAAAACTGGACTGTAGTAAGGGGCATTCAAAATCATTAGAAGACACTGATCCCACCCATTGAATCTCAGTGCATTTAAGTCAAGGGTCTTCAAACTTGGCCCTTTTATGACTTGTGGATTTCAACTCCCAGAATTCCTCAGCCAGGCACATGTTGAAGTCCACAAGTCATAAAAGGGCCAAGTTTGAAGACCCCTGATTTAAATAATGGATTCTGGCATTGGCAGGCCAGTTTCCCAGAACAGGGGCTGCTTTCTCTGTTGTTCAGCTACATTACTCTGCTCACTCCAGACATTAAATAAAATATTAACTAGCAACAGTTTGCATATGGTTAAATAAGCAACTGGAATTGATTGATTGATTAGGTTTTTATCTCACCTTTCTTATTTTACAAGTCACTCAAGGCAAGTGAACATGCCCAATACGCCTTCCCATTTTCTCCACAAGAACCCTGTGAGGTGGGCTGGGCTGAAAGAGAAAGGCTGGCCTAAAGTCACTCCAGCCAGCTTTCATGGCTAAGTCAGAACTAGCATTCCCTGTCTCCTGGTTTCTTGGCCAGCACCTTAACCATTAAGCAATTAATTTAACAATTGTATTAACAACAAAAAAAGATTTGAGTTTCCCCCAAATCTGATTGTCGCGAGGGTTTTTACCTTCTGCCCTATTCTCACAAGAGAAAAACGAATCACCTGTTAAAGGTGAAAAGATGGTTAAAGCCGCTTTTTGCCCTGAAGCACCTGTTTGCTTGGAAGGCATCTGCAGACAAAATCTGAGGAAAAGACACGTGTTTCCTCCTCCTCCTCCTCCATCCATCCATCCATCCATCCATCCATAGCCCCTACCGTCCACGGCACCAAGTCTACAGCGGGTGTAAAACAGCATCTGCTTCCCACCAGCGCAACTAATAGGCAGTGGTTCTCGTCTTTCGCCGTTCCCAACCCGAATCCTCCATTCTCACGATCCTTCGCGTGCACGCGGGTTGGGAGAAGCGAGAGGAGGAGGCGGCGCCGCGCTGATTCCTGCGGGCGAGGATGGCTGGGCTCCAAAGGGAGGCTGGCCCTTTTTCTGGGCCGGTCTTAGCAAGTTGCTCTCCCGTCTCTTCCTCCTCCTTCTCCTCCTCCACCGCCGTGCCAGCCATTCCCACGCCAGCCGGGAGCGCATCGCCGTCTCTCGCCATGGAGTACCAGCAGGCTGCTGAATGGGCAGCGCAGCACTTGGAGAGCTACCGGAAAGACCCCAGCGGCTGGAGCGGCTTCAAGCGAGCGGTAAGCGGGGGAGGGGAGGAGGGGAGGGGGGACCCTCGACCACCGATTTTCCCCTTGAGGGGCCGAGGCAAGGCGCCCCTTTCTCCTTAAGAGGAAGGGGGACACCCGGAGCTGGCCACATCGCTCTGGACCGCAAGCAGGACACAACGCGGCGGAGGGCGCTCCAACCTCATAAGATCATAACTTGTGCATCGATTATTAAATACTATTGCTTTTACACGCTTGTCAAAGCAGTTTTGCCAGCCGCACTGGAAGCTGGAAAAGTAGCTGCCGCTCTTCCCCTGCTGGTTTTGCTAGATTTTTTTTCTTCTTTTCTTTAATTGGCAGGGGAAAACCTGTTTTCACTCCCCTGGGATCTAAAGCGATTCCGCGGTTCCCCACTTGCTTCCGCCTATATCTCCTTTCAAATCCTCGCCGGATTTGAAAAGGTGAAATCTGGACAGCTGGAGTGCCATTCGCTTTTTAGAGAATCTAGACTGCTGTTTAATAGCTGTCCCGTTTTGGGAGTCTGGGGGAGGGTTTGCCGGACAGAAAAGAAAGACACTAGGATCTTTTTACTGCTAAGGATTCCCGTGATGATCTGGAGGGGGAGGGGGCAGACACGCAGGTATTCGATAAAAAGATTTATTTTTCCATCATCTCTCAATACAGCAACTGTCAGTATACTAAGCTGGATGAACCAACAGCCTGAATTTGATCAGCCTTTGCTAGATTGCAGAACTGAATCTCTAGACCAGGGGTCCCCAACCCTTCCCCCTGTCCTTGGACTACTACCAGGCCACAGCATGCCAGCAACCGGTCCACACAAACAAGCAAAGCCCCGTCCATGGGATGCAGGCAGCACACAAAACCATGCACTTCTTTCCATGGTACCGGTCCCTGGTGCCCAAAAGGTTGCGGACCTCTGCTCTAGGCAGAAGATAGATGCATACTTTATTTTACACAATGCATATAGATGCTTCTTTCTTTTTTTCTCTAGCACTTGGTGCAAAAATTAAAAGCTGGGGATTTATTTTATTTTATTTTATTTGCCCTGGAAGCCAGAGGGATATGTTCAGGAAGTTAGCAAGAGTCAAGCAAGTCTCAAAACAACAACAACAACAACAACAACAACAACAACAACTTGTCTATATGCAAATGGATATTTTGTAAAAACAAAGGGAAGATTCAGGGGTTATGTTAGGGAAAAAAAACACAGACTGTTTCCAGAAAGAGACTGCCACAGCATTGCTCCATCCAATATGTGACATCTAGAGAAGGGGTTTTAAGCAGAATTTGGGACATAGGAATGGTGAGGAGGAAAGCCCCTCAAGGAGCTGTCTTTATTTTCCATCTGTAAGGCTTTGGAAAAGGACCCATTTCCTTCCAGCCTTCCTTTTTGCCAAGTTGTTTCTTCCCATCCCAGTAGCTTGGAAGAGAAGAAGAGATGATGAAAGTTACCCCCAGGCTGTTATGGATGCATGTGAGGACTTATCAAAACACAGTACTGATTGTTGGGGGGGAGGGAGGGAGAGAGAGAGAGAGAGAGAGAGAGAGAGAGAGAGAGAGAGAGACTTTCCAAAGGAAAAAAAATATAATGTTATTTCTGATAAGATCACTCCCCAAAAGCACCATTTCAATGCTAGGATTTTCTAGGGATAGTCAGAATTGGACTATAACGTGGAGCTCTTTTCTTGCTTTTTATGTCTACGATAAGCATCCCAATGCCATTAAAATTTGTAAGTTATTGTTTATTTTTTTTTTTAATTTCCTTTGTGCCTGGAAACTGCCTGGACTAGTCCTTGCAGGTTTTTTTGGCAAGGTTTCCCCCCCCCCACCACCACCACCGAGGTAGCTTGCCGTTACTTCCTTTCTAGAGCTGATAGAGCAGTGGTTCTCAACCTTTTTAATGCCGCGACCCCAACCGGTCGTAAGTCGAGGACTAAACCAGTCGTAAGTCGAGGACTACCCAACCGGTCATAAGTCGAGGACTTTCCCTGCCCGGGAGCGCCACGCATGCGTGATGCCGCCCCCTGCACCGGCCGAGGCGTAGCTGGCAAGCAGCAGAGACGGAGCAGGCCGACCACCGGCTGGGCCACCAGCTGGCCCAGCCCAGGGGAGGTAAGGCACCCGCCGGAAAAGGGGAAAAAATGGCGGACAGCCTTGCTTGGCGACCCCCGTGAAATGGTCGATCGACCCCAAATGGGGTCGCGACCCATAGGTTGAGAACCACTGTGATAGAGGGACTGGCCCAAAGTCACCCAGCTGGTTTTGTGCCTAAGGCCGAACTAGAATTTGAGGTCTCCTAGTTATTATTAGATTTTTATCCCATCTTTTGAAGTAATTGAATCTGGCAAACACACCTAAAACTCCTTCCTCCTCCTCCTATTTCCCACACAACAATAATCCTCCGAGTTGTCTTGGGCTGAGAATGCAGACTGGCCCACACTGTGTCATTATTTGGGATTAATGTCCACAAATATTGCAAAAGGATACGAGTAGTCCAAGACTTAACACACCTTCAGTGGCCGCTTGAAGTTTACAACGGCGCTGAAAAAACTAACTTCTGACCGTTTTTCACACTTATGACTATCACAGCATCCCCGCCGTTCACGTGATCAAAACTCGGATTTATGACGGTCGCAGTGACTTGGGGTCATGTGATCAACTTTGGCGACCTTCTGACCAGGTCAATAGGAAGCTGGATTCTCTTCAGAACCGGCTTACTAAATAACTTTCAGTTTCAACAGAAACAGTTGAACTAATTCCAGAATTACTCATGTTTAAAGAAGGTCCATTGAAAGCAATGGGGAAAGTTAGTTATTATGGCTAATGAAAAATCTACTTGCTTTAGGCAAATTTATTTTTTTTAGTTGACATGAGACAGCCTTATGGGTATTTGTTGTTGTTAGTCTCTTACTTCCCTAAAATGTATTCTGAACATATTAAAAAAATAAACATTAAGGTTGAATAAAACCTCATTCCATTTCAGTGTGCAGAAATAATGCAGCTGATTGTATCTGATTATTGTTTTTTAAATGTCTTTCTAGAATAATGTTACAATATCTTGGAGACCTTCAACTGTATTTTCTGGAAACCTGTAAGTAAAATTGCAGAAGCAAAAACAACATTTGGGTAAAGTTCTAGGGGCATAAATTGATCTCTGAGATGCCACTTCTGTCTTGTTTATTGCTAATTTAAGTTCTATGTTTAAAATGTAAACAACATAGTCAACAGCTGGTAGATGAAGCACAAAAAGGTAAAAGTTCCAGTAATGGAAGAGAAGAAAAGAGACTTCTAACCAAGTAAATGTCCAACATACCGATCATAGGTTTTGTTGTTTAATTTTTTTCTTTGGAGAAGAAAGTTCCCAACCATCATAAAGAAGAATATTATGTAATGTAAGGTATGATGCAAACTGCTTGGCTGCATCATACAGTTATAAATAGCTGATCTTAGAAAACATGACTTGTCCCAAAGATATAGAAATGCACCAGTCCCAAGAAAGCTTAAATATGATGAAATACAGAAGTATAGGGTGTATTTATTTAAGTAACTGAGCATTTTGCTTCGGTGTGGTGCTACTTTCCTCCGTGTTCTGTATAAAACAAACACATTTTCTTGCAATTTAAAAAGCAGGCAAATTGTTGGAATGCTGGTGTATTACATGCAGAGGTACATTCTGTTTGATTTTTATCGCACCTTTATTACTTCGTATGTAATTCTAGGCCAGGGATGGCGAACCTCTTAGAGACCGACTGCCCCAAACCCGCCCTGCCTGCCCACAGGGCCACCCACCACCTCCATGGCCCGTTGCAGCAGCGCCGTGGCAGCCACGCCCTCCGCCCGCATCCCTGAGCATGATGGGGCACGAGGGCAGAGACCTATCCCTGTTGCCCGGCTGCCATGTCCTTGGCTGTGCTGCTCCACGCGGGCTGTGCCTGGGCTGGGGCAATGGCCCACGTGCCCACAGAGAGGGCTCAGAATGCTCCTTCTGGCACACTTGCCATAGGTTCACCACCACTATTCTAGGCAGTGAACATAGCTACTCTTCCTTCGTCCTCCTGTTTTCCCCACATTAACCACTCTGTGAAGTAAGTTGGGCTGAGAGAAAATGCATGGCCCAAATCAGCCAGTAGCTTTCTTGCCCATGGTGGCACTAGAATTCCCAGTCTCCTGGTTTCTAAGCCAACACCTTAACTGGCTCCATTTATTAAGAACACTCAAAATGCAATTTGATTGGAATAGTACCCTTCTACTTCGTTCACTAAGAATTTCTCCCATTCTTCCTCCCTCTCTCAAAAGATACAGAGCGGAAGGAGTTTTAGCGGCAAAGCCAGAGGACGTGTTTAAATGTATCAAGCCAGAGACTGATGGACTTAGAGAAAAATGGGATGACAACGTGAACAAAATACTAGTTGTTGAATCCATAAACGATGCAAGTATAACACATCTTTATTTATAGCCAGAGACAGCTAGGAAAGTAAGGTACTCTTGGGAGCCAGCCCTGGTTATTGTAGGGTAACTGGAAAGAAAAGGAATTCCCATTATGTTTTGGGATGTAGGGAATGGTGGAAGCATTGATGTCTCTTTGTATGGTGCTAAAACTGTGGTGGCTGACTGGCTATCTACAGACATTGAGACTGCAAACACACTGGTTGGGTATGCTTAATTACTGAAGAAAGAAAGGAAAGGAAAGGAAAGGAAAGGAAGGAAAGAAAGAAAGAAAGAAAGAAAGAAAGAAAGAAAGAAAGAAAGAAAGAAAGAAAGAAAGAAAGAAAGAAAGAAAGAAAGAGGAGAGTGGAGAAAGGTGAAGGATGTGGTCTTGTGTGCAATTTCAGAATATTTGTGTCCTGAGAACAACCACGCATTCGGCTTTTATGAATTTGATCTCCCCAAGAGAGTTCTTAGATGTGGTCCTGATCCAACAGAACGAGGACGGTTCAAAAATGACTGCTGGTAAGCTGGTTCAAACTTTGGGGGCACTGGTTTTCTTTCAGCGAGTTCCCTGAAGTCAATTCATAGTGAGATGGGCAGCATATAAACTGAATAAATAAAATAAGAAGGGCAATCCTTAGCAGGTGCCCTAAGACACCCTTCCACACACTCACACATTGCTGTAATGTTGTGAGTGCCCAATACTTATAAATGCCTCCCCTGCTACTAGGGAAACCCCAGTTGATAAGAATCTCAATTTTTATTTTTAATGTTCCTCCCTCATAGCAACCAATGTGGAGCATCGCCTTAGTCCTCCTCAGCCCAATTACGTCAGAGGCCTGAATTTTCCCTGCGGCTGTTTTGTCAATCCTGTTCCAGGGTAAGATGTGTGGAAATATTTGATGGCCACACCCTGTTAGGCCAAGAATGCTTTAAGGTTTAACACACCTTTTGCTGTTGCTGCTGCCAAATTACAGTTTAAGCAACATCCTACAGTTTGAGGGAGCTGTTTTTTTCTACAGGAAGTGGCCAGCTTTATGTAAATTTAATAGTTATTTAAGATGGGTGTTGTTTGTTTTGTCGTGTGCCATCAAGAGTCACAATCTGATCTAGATAAATTTGGCAAATAAATAAGAAAGGAAGGTGTAGGCTTTGTTCTTAGCATTAAAAGCCAATTGGACAACTGGTTCATACGTGAGTTAATTAGAAACTCACGTTGCTGAGATTGATGTAGTTTGGAAATGAATTATGGATGCCTCTTCCTCAAAGATACAGCTTCTGTTTCCTTCTAATAGTGCAGAAGCATGCCAGCTAATAGATGAAAACAAAAGAAATATATTGAGGAGGAAAAGGAACCATGCATAACATTTCTTGATGATGCCTCCCATCTGCATATGAGATAATACCATCATGCATGCAATCCCACAATTACAATTACAAAATAGTAAGCACATCTGATGCAATATCTCAACTCGTGCCATTGGTATGAGGACAGCATGAGGCATATCTCATTATCATGTCAATTATGGAATAAAATAACTTAGGCTAATAGGCGTGGTCCTTGGCATGTGGAAGTTGTAGAAATAGATAAAATATGAAAAGGAGGCATTGGGAAAAGAAATATGGCCTGCTTAAGCATTTAACTGTTTCCTTAAGATCAGGAGAGGACATTTTCAGAATTTGGGGAGTACATTGGGGTGCTGTCATGATGAGGAAGGCTGTTCATTCATAAAACAGCTGTCATGGTGATGATTGCCCATTTGTAATAGGGCAGTAATGGAAAAACTGCGCCGAGGTGGCGCAGCAGTTAGAGTGCAGTCCTGCAGGCCACTTTAGCTGACTGTGTTCAGCAGGTCAGCGGTTCAAATCTCACCGGCTCAAGGTTGACTCAGCCTTCCATCCTTCCGGGGTAGGTAAAATGAGGACCCAGATTGTTGGGGGCAATGTAAATATATATATACATTGCTTACTGGTGTACACCGCTTAGAGAGTGCTTGCACTTAAAGCGGTATATAAGCCTCATAAATAAAAAATAAATAAGATGCAACTTGGTCAACTTACATCACTGTTTCACTTACATCTTACCGTTTCCTTTCAAAGTAAACTAAAATCAGTGCTGAAAAGGGCAAAGAATCAGACGAAAGGAAAATAAAGACAAACAGCAGAGAGGCAGACTGCCACAATTTGTGGAACGATCCATTGCTAGCTGTTTTTCATCTAAAAAAAAAAAAACCTGCACTGTGTGAAAACAGCAAAGTGTCCTTTATGTAGAGATGTTTCGTCCATCTCCTTCTTTACGGTGGAAGCTTTGTAAAAGCATCCAGTTTGGGCCATAAAGATTTGCAAGATGATTCCATTCCAATAAGATTTTGGTTTTCGCTGCCTGTTGGCTGAGATATATTGCTGTTATGGTCTTCCCAGTCACCCCTGATTCCTGGAGACTACTTGGGCAGTTGATGCTGGTTTTCTAGGCAACATTTTTGGAAGTGGTTTCACAAGACCTTCTTCCTGGGATTCATGCCTAAAGGAGGATTAACAATTAGGTTTTCCACACGCTTTCTTCTGCACCTGTATCAAACTGGTTCTCATTGGAGATATATGCCATTTTTACCCAATTGCTTTCTCTTCTTTTTTGTTGTTGTTGTTCTTGTTTTCTCTGCAGGGATCCAAACAAGACCCGCCTCCTCAGTTTCTTTCAGACTGATCTGAGTGGGAACCTCCCACAGAAAATCGTTGAAGCTTTCTTTCCAAGGAGCATAACAGCGTTTTATGGGAATTTGGCTAATGCAGCTGTCACATTAGTGGCTTAGGTTTGTCCCCTGTTCCCCCCCCACCTACCCTTTCACAAATGGAAAACATAGCTGGGCTGTATATTAATAATACTGAGGCTGCACTTTGCAAAGGCACGTGTAGTTCCCGGGGCTGAACTGTGATCTGTTCAAAAGGATGCACATGAATTTCTCCTTCATTTAGATGGAGAGCTTGTGAGCCCAGGTCTAGAATTAAATAGCATTTTATTCACACTGCTCTGGTCTGACCTTGCTAAGGACTCTGAAAAGAAATGAATCTCTCCAGGTTTTGGTTTGCAAGAAAGGCTTTCAAAGATAGTGACACCTCAACAGGAAACAGTTGGACAGTAATTCACTGTAAATCAGAAAAGCAAGTAAGAAGATCTGATGCTGTGTCTTTGCCAAATTCCATGCCTTGCTTTATCTTTCACAATGATGACAGCATCACTCAGAGCTCCTGAGTTTAAATCTCCACCCAGGTGCCTTTCAAGAGTTCCTTTCATGTGGTCTAGCTGCTTTGAGCCAATGAGGCTTTTCCTGCTAAAGTGAAAAAAAGACTCTGAAGAAACCACATTTGTTTTTCATATGTTCTCCTCCCATACCATAGAAATAACAAATATCTGCCTGCATTTTAGCCTGCATAGCAGGGGGAAAAAATCCTGACTTATAAGCCTTCTGTAGGAAGAGAGATGTTTATGCACAGAAACATTCAAGCGTATGAAACTCTTAAACATGAGGGGAAAATGTGGTTATGGTAAATTTTGGTTGATTATAGAACAGCAGGTTGTCAGAGACGATGATTTAACAAGAAACTAAGATAAACATCAGCCAGTTTTGCGCTGTAGATCCTGTTTAGAGAGAAAGACCTCTGAAGCATGTCTGTTCCATATTTCTGCCTTCACAAACTCTCCATACCTGCTCCAGATGACCACTGATCTTAGGCAATAATATTTTCTAAACCATAATGGGTTGTTCTCATGTGCTTTTATACATTAGAGATTAAAAAAAAAAGGTGCTATAATGTCATTGTTGTTCTTGTCTCTGCTTGGAGCGAAGCTTGCAGCAGCTATTTCTGAACCAAGTTCTTAGCTGGGGGAGAGAGATAATTGTAAGTAAATGTAACATGATTAAAAGAACAATACTTTATTAGAGGAACAGGTAAAAATGTAGCTAAATCAGGCTTTCCTGATCCAGCAATGGACAATCTACAGCCAGTCCAAAGTGAGAGAGAGGTGCTTTCCCAGGGATGGAAATGTACACACACACACTTTTACACACTGTATTCCAGGAATGGTCAAGATACACCCTCCATGTTGCATCAAAGGAAGCTGCAGGTCCTGCAGTGGATCTCCACGGGCTGAGCTCCTGCATCCGCTTTAATGCTTGTTAGGCAATCAAGGCCCAGTTAATTAAACTCGCTATCTCCTTTGCCATCAAATCTTCTTTCAGGGTTCTGCCCTTTTGCTTTGGGAAAATCCTTGATTAATTCGGGCACAGCTCACCACGGGAACTTTTAATAACACTGCAAACACAAACAAGCGAGCTGTTTACGTTGGCCTCTTTGTCTCTGCCTTTCCTGGCATTCCCTTGGCAAGCAAAGAACACAGGCAGTTGAATCAGCTGCAGAGTAAGTGATACAGGCAAGGCATGAGTCTCTAGTTTGGGTCACAGCAGTTCCAGATCTCTTTGAGCACTGTGACCGTCACTGTGATGGTCACTATTCCTCTCCATGGAGAGAGGAAGCTGTTCCAGCCACTGAATTCTTCCTCCGGATGGTGGCAGTAATAAATCCATCTGGCAAGGTCCGGATGATATTCCAAGCTTCAAAGCGAGTGAGTCCTTGCATCAGATGGGTGTGCACCTGCAGCAACTCATCTCCAGGCTGAATAGGGGGGTTGTGTTGGGGTGTCACGCCTGGAAGATGCAAAGTGTGGTGTTAGCGAGGTATGGGAGGGTAGGGGCGTGAGAGAAAGATCAAAATACACATTTGTCATTCGTGGATATCCAGAGAAGGAAAGTACCGCATATGCCGGCGTATAAGGCGACTTCCGCAAGCACTAAAATCAGCGCCAAAGACGGGGGTCATCTTATACGCCAGAAATACTGGTAATTTCCGGCGTATAAGACGACGTTCTAGGAATGCAGCCCGGCGACAAAGACGGGGGTCGTCTTATACGCCCGGTCGCCTTCTACGCCGGCATATACGGTAGTACAGCAGTACAGTTCGACTGGAGCAACACAAAAATAATAAACCATGCTGCCACCTGCCACACTCGCAAGTTTATCACAGCCTGGCACTCCACAAGCAATTCCATCAACACATTGACCCACAACCAGCCTACGAACCCCTCAGAATTCAAATCAACCACACAGCCAACCAGCGACAGCACCGACTCTCAACTCACGCAAAAGCTTCACCGCCCCCAATCCACCATACCTTTAAAAAGCCGACTGATGGTGATTGGTTTATCTCCATGAATGGAGCCTTTTCCTCCTTCCAGACTGAAACCTAAACTTGCAGATGTCTTCTCCAGGGTAACTGTGAAGATCAAATCTTCTGGTGCTGGGTCAAAGCAGAACGTCATCAGAGAGGGATGAGTCTTGTTAGTAAAAAATCTATAACATGGCATGGTGCTATGGAAAACCATCAGTTTAGTACAGGTAGTTCTATGCTGGGCCACTAATAGGATCTCAGAAAGTTAGTTTAGAGCAGGGGTCCACAAGTCATAAAAGGGCCAAGTTTGAAGACCCCTGCCCTAAACTACCTTTCTGAGATCCTGTTAGTGGCCCAGCCTAGAACTAAATTGCTGAAATCTAGGGAGCAAAATTTCAGGTCATTTAGAGATGGGAAACTTGAAAAGTTTAAGGGAAGTCCACAAACGGGCATAACTCAGTTCTGAAAGGGAGAACATTTTGAAGTTTCTCTCCTAAAATCTTGGGGTCTTCCTCCCTTCTCAAATCCTAACCCTTCTCAATCATTGCGCTGTTCACTGGAAACTTTAACCGTCCAAAAGGTCTTAGAGACTATTTGCCCACTGTGCCCTGGAAGAATCATGCAAAATGTATAGAATTACCTGAACCCTCCTAGCCAATGTCCAGTGGAAAGACTTACTTACGATTCTTGTTTTTTCTGAAAAATATTTTCTCTGTATCACTGTTCTCTCTCTCTTTCTCTCTCTCTCTCTCAAATGCCCAGTCTGTTCCCACTCCCCCCCTCGCCTAAGTCTACACAAATATTTCTTCCTCCACCACCTTCTTTCCCTAGATTATTCTGAAATATTTTCTACTGAAGACCACCAAAATATTATTCTGAAATATTTTCTACTGAAGACCACAAAACTGAATCAAGGTACCTTCTGTGCATAGATTTCATCATGAATGCCCTTCTACACCCCCAATGCTTATGGCTTTCCCACCGTCAATACTCGGACTCACTGGAATCCATGGACATTTCGCGTCCTGTCGATGCTGAGGACTGAAGGGGCCCACTGGTGCTCCATTGTCTCTCTTTGGGTTTTCGGGTGACAATCACTGCCAGCCCGAGGTGCCGTGCTTTTCGCAAGATCTCCAGGGCTTCGGTGTGAGTGGCACCCTTAAGAGATTTCCCGTTGATCGACAAGACTTCATCCCCTTTTTGGATGGTTCCTTCCTGAGTTGCTAGACCACTGGGAAAGACTTTGTGAACCTGTTACAAATTTCCGAAAGACGGAAAGACACATCGTAAGGAAGTTTCCTTATCCGTCTTTCGTTTGCATCTTGAGAAGTATAAGGTGGATGAGATTTTTTTTTTTTTAATTGCACTACAGAGTTTGAGAAGTGGAGAAATTCACCCAAGAAATTAAGCTTTAGTTCCATTTAAAAAGAGGATTAATTTATAATGTTCTTGTCAGCGCTAATAAAATAATATTGTGGGAATTTCTTTCCTTTTAAAAGACAGACAGGATCCTAGAAACAGAAAAGTTTTTGAATTTGTCTACGTGGTGGCAAATAAGCGGGAAAATTGTTCTACTGTAAAGGAGAATGTAAACAGGAAGAAAGGAAGAAAAAAGAAGGGAGGCAGACTAATATGATAATACAGAATGTGAATTTACTTTCTCTGGTTTAAATTTCATTATGTGCAACAAGATGAAGACCTAGTGTAGTATAGTAGTGGGAGTGCTGAACTAGGAATGGAGAGACTGGGCTTCCAGCCTTCTTTTGATTATGAAAGAATCCATATGAGATGGGAACTGAAGCTATTCTCACAAAGGGTTTTTGATCTATCAAGAAGCACCTCCATAAAATAACCCACCTAGCAGATTACTTACGACAACAGTTTTGTTTTCAAGGTCTATTCCACCAGCCAAGCTAAACCCAAGGCCAATCCCTTCTTCTTTATGGAGAATCGTCACATGAATGTCACTGAGTTGCTGTGTAAAGCAAAATAATAATAATAATAATAATAATAATAATAATAATAATAATAATAATAATAGTAATATAGACTGTGGCAAAAGCAAGCAAGGGTAGTACCAATAGTCATAGGCTCCTTGGGTGCAATCCCAAAACAACTGCAGCACCACTTGAACACAATTGGCATTGACAAATTCGCTATTAGTCAGTTGCAAAAGGCGGCCTTATTAGGAACTGCTTCCATCCTGCGACGATATCTGTAATACCATCAAAAATCCACATCTGCCTATCCCAGGTCCTGGATAAGGACTCGATAGGTAGACAAAATGCCAAATCCAGTCTGAACATCTGGCTGACTGTGCAACGATCAATAATAGTAGTAGTAGTAGTAGTAGTAGTAGTAGGCGCCTTGGGTGCAATCCCAAAACAACTGGAGTACCACTTGAACACCCTTGGCATTGACAAATTTGCCATTAGTCAATTGCAAAAGGCGGCCTTACTAGGAACTGCTTCCATCCTGCGACGAGATCTATATTACCATCAAGCATCCACATCTGCCTATCCCAGGTCCTTGGTAAGGACTCGATAGGTAGACAAAAATGCCAAATCCAGTCTGAACATCTGGCTGACTGTGTGATAATCAATAATAATAATAATAATAATAATAATAATAATAATAATAATACATCAAGAAACTGCAGCTTCCTGCAATAGCTCCAGCAACGTTACAAAAAACTGCACTACTCGGAACATCTTCTATTTTAAGGAGGTATCTGGTTGATACCTAGGATGCTGGTAGCAACCCGTGTCAACCATCAGCGCCAGCCAATTTGAATGTTCAGTTGACTGAGGTTCTTGTTTAATGAATAAAAGATAATAATAATAATAATAATAATAATGATGATGATGATGATGATGAGGGTGGGGTGAGAAAAAGAAGATTCTGAATACTGCAAGTATTAAAGCATTCCTGAAATATTCATTTTCAGCTTCTGCTTGGAAAGTGAAAATGGAGCCCCTCCCTGGATAAATGAATCAGTGCTGGGGAATGGATAGATGGATGGACAGAGTATTCCATCATGCTGATACTATTGGCTCAGCTGGTTGAGAGTGATAAAGATTGTTGTATGAAACACTCACAGATTTCTGGTTAGGAGAAGCTATTGGAAAAGTTGAAGATATCAGGGACTTGCCTTTAGCGTTGCTTCATCCAAAGCTTTCACCTCCTCCAGAAGCTTCTCCAGTTCTTCAGGAGTAAGGAGAGAGATGACAGCTTGCCCGGAGGTGCCCAGGGTTGGAGATGGACAGGATTTCTTCTTATCTTCTCTCTTCTCTCTGTCCGGCTGATTTGCTCTATAGTCTCTCAACTCAGAAAGACTAGACAGTTTGGGAAGAGGAAATAAGAAATGCTGAATAAGAAGCAGTTGGCTTCAATTTTGAAACTTCTTCTTTTTAATTTGTCTATTCCTTCTCCTCATCATGGTCAAGCCACTTTCTAGGCTCCTATGACCACCACCAATTCACCTGTGTTTTTCAGAGATTCCCTTTTTGTTTTGTTTAATTCACTTTTTAGTGCAAATGGAAATGTCAGAAAAATCTGACAAGAATAGAGAATGGATCTTCGTGATCAAAATCTGGATTCTATAGGTTCTTCTTACGGTGTTACCGTCTTCTTACCTGCCCGTAGCAAAGTATTTGAATTCAGAAATTGGGACCTTTTCAGCAAGCCAGCAATGGCTTAACAGGGCACGCCAGCGTCACTTTCAATTCCTCCAAAGAGTTTCAAAATCATTTATGATTGTCTTCCAATATGCCAATGTCAGGATGTTTGGAGGGCAAAAATTATAGTCCTTCTTTTAGCTGCTGCCCCTTATTTTCACTCTCTTCAAAAGGGAATTGCAAATTGGAACACAGACTACCCACAAACATCCCAAAGCTGCTGCAGTTTAAAGAATCATTTATTGTGGTTTCAAATATCCCACAACTGAGTCAGAAATAAATCATCTCAGCTCTCAAATACAGCCAACCTGGTGATATTTCACAGTTGTTTTCAGGGAGACTCAGAATTTGCAAAGTAGAAGAGCTCATAAAGACTGAAGCCAGCCATTCTATATTTCAGGAAATACTGAATATCCTCTGAAACTCAGCCTCTTGCATCCACTGGGGGTCTATATTCATCACACTTAGATTCCTGAAAGGCACATGTTCTCCCATTTGCAGGAAAGCTTTTTCTCAGAAACTGCTTCAGAAATAAAGGGAGACTCAGCATGTTGAGATTTAAAAGCAGAAGAAATGAAAGTATAGGCCCGGGGGTCAAGGGGAGAAGAATATGCTGTAATTTCCTCAAATAAGCACGTGTGATGGAAGAGCAGAGGGCCTGAATTGCAACACAGAAGTTGGTGTCAAAAGAAAAAGTTTTCCAAGCAATTACTATATCTGAACATTCAAACCCAGATTAGGAAAAATCCCTATTTCAAGTTGTGGGTTTTTATGACCACATTTTTCTACAGAAACCTATTTTGAGAAAACTTGGAAGTTTCACATGTCTCTTTCATTGGATTGCTGTTGAATAATTCATTCAGAGGAAATCAAAAAGCAATGTCCTAAATAATAATAGCGAAACTGTTCTTTGAGACCTCGTGTCTCATGGCAAATGGACCGAAGTTTGTTAATCTGAGATGTTTTGTTACTCATCCAAGCAACTTCATCAGTCAAAATAAAATTAAAAAAATTAGTTAGGTTGAGAATGACCCAACTCTTGCTATACCAACTGCAGGGGTTTCTCCCCAAAATGTATTGAAATATGTCAATGAAAAAAAACAACAACCTGGATTATCTTTCAAACTGCCACCATTCCTGAGCAGAAACGGTCCTCTTCAGAATTCCCACGGACAACCCACAGCTACTCTTCTAGGGACAAGGCCCATTCCGACTGATTAAGAGAGACCCTGCTTCATAAATGTATTTTACAAACCAAGAGAATTCCAGAGGTGGTGTTTCTACACTAGTTGTCAGGGATCAGAATCTGAGAAGGGTGCTTAAAAATGCAGTTGCTCCTTTTTTTTTTTTTGACCAGTTCTCCAATCCACCTGGCTTTCTTAAAAACAACACCTGCCACTTCCAACAATAAATAAATAAGCACAACAGATTTTAATACTGCATTCATTATTACAAGAATGGGGATCTGAAGACAAAAGAAACAGCCTTATCTAAAACTGCTGTGGGGACTGCGCTAGTAGAGTTGAATGAAGAGAAGAAGGATAATCTTCAATTTCAGGCAGAATCAGAAGAATATGCAAGATCCGGGGCCTTTTTTTATTCCTGAGATGTTTACAAAATGCTCCCTTCGTAGCTCTATCAACATTGGAGACATCAGTAAGGCAAATGCCATTGGTGGAGAGCACTTAAAAGCCTTCTTCCAATGTTAACATCTCTCCAATTATTCTTTGTTTTCAGGGAAGATCTTAGATCTCCCATTGCCTGTTAAGATGCTTGGCCTGAACAATACTTTTGTCCTTCGTTTCTGAAGGAAAGTGTGGATAAAAATTCAAAAGGTGCACCATGCTAAACCAGTGTTTTTTAAACCATGATTTGTTGATCATAGCTACAGAGTGTCCCAAAGGTGTTTTTTCAAGAGGCAATCCCAGAATTCCTCAGCCAGCATGGCTCAGCTTGGAAACCTCTCCCTTTCCCCTCAGCATGGCTGGCTCAGGAATTCTGGGAGTTGAAGTCCACAAGTCATAAAAGAGCCAAGGTTGCCTACCCCTGGTCTAGTTTATCAATAAGACTAAGCCAACATGCGTAAGCGGGAGCATAACTCTAAGCTAGAGCCAAAATCACATGATAGCTTAGTATTATATGTGCATTTGTATAAAAGCAGACTTAAACTGCCAAGCAAATACTAAACCCAAGGGATTTTTTGTTTGTTTGTTTAAATAGAAAGAAACACACCTTCAAAGTTACAAACAGAAAGACCTTACTTAAGAGAATAGCCAGTGTCCAGAGACTGAACTTCTCTTCCTTGAGGGGAAGCAATCTTGTCTTCTTCCGCGCAAGATTCGGAAACCCCTCCGTTGGCGGCTCCAGGGCTCTTCCTACTACAGCGAGGAGACTGAGAAGGAAAGCCGTCTAACGATTTCATCAAAGCTGACGAGAAGTGGTTGCTAATGGAATAGATTTTGCTGCATTTTTCCCCCTCGGCGCTGGTTTTCAACATCTCATAGCTCTGAGCTGAAGTGAGTGGAAAGCTGTGCGCTCGTTGGCTGGGTGCTTTTGTGACTGGCGGGTCAAGTTCCGCATTTTGTGAGGCTGGAAGATTCAGAAATGAGTCAAGAGGGGTGCTGTCGTTCATCTTTGAAAGCGAAGCACCGTGATCCACAGAGGAAGAAGAAGACACGTTGGTCTGACTTTCTTCTAGAGAGGAGGGCAAGGAACTGCTCTCAGCGCCTCGGTGGTCAGTGTTACTGGTGGATGCTGGCTGAGGATCAAATGTAGCAGATTTGCAAGCCTGCCCACTCGAAGCTTGCTCTTTTGGAGTGAGCAGCTTTGGACTCAACTTCCGAGTTCCCTTATCAGGAGACTGAGGAGTGCCCAGATTTTCAAAAGAGCTTATTCTCTGCTTTATTGACGATCCTCTAGGTCTAGGGGATGTCCGGATGATCTTGGTAACGCAGCCCAGCTCATTGTCAGATAGGCTCTGATGCTCAGTGCTGCTGCTTCGGAGAGGTTTTGCATCTGAACTTCCTTTCTTGAGTCCTTTAAGGCTCTGGCGGAACCAAGCTGGTTTGGGCGCTACAGGTGGACCTTTCTTCACAAAGTCACCTTCCTCTGACATGAAAGAGGCTTTGGGATCACTCTCCTCGGTGTCTGATGGCTTCAGGGCTTCTCCTGAGCGATGCAAGGCTGGCTCACCATCTTTGCTCTCGATGCCATGAGGCATGTTTAAGCTGCACCTTCCTTCAGCCATGCTGGGGTTAAACAAGCTTTTGATGCAGTCGGAAATTCTCACCCCAGGATCTTCGGTTGTCGTCTCCAGGCTATAATCCACCCTGGCTTGTCTTCTGAGGGCAGGCCTTGTAGATGAGTCTGTCTTCCCTGAGTGGCAGAAAAACATTAAGATGCATCATATGATTAAAAAAAAATGTCAGCTCTCACCAAGGGGGACCGTTCTGAATTCAAAGTTGCCCTGTAGGATTACAGTTCCTGCACGCTTGTCAGCAAGGTCCACCAAACTCAATTTTACCCTATCCCTATGAGTGAAATTTATTTCTAAGTAAGCAAAAAACTGAGAAAATCTCTTTCAGATGGAGCTAGCTGTCCAGGCAGTTTTTATGGTAGCAACAGAGGAGCAGAGTCATTATCTTCTTCTATTTTTTTTTTTTAAAAATCAAATGTAATCATGGGAATTCCTGGTGGTCTCCAATACAAGGGCTAACAAATCCCAACTCCTTAACTTCTGAGCCTAGAAAAAGTTCAGGTGTGCCACCAGCTGAGAAACTTCCAAGTAGACACAGTTACTAACCTACATAGTTGTGCAGTTAGGTAATCCCACTTCATTATATTAATTTTGAGTGCAATCCCAGGCAGATTTCTTCAGATGTTTGCAGAAAATTACATGCCAATCTGCAGTCTTGGTCATAATAACCATCACTTGCCCAGGATTGCAAAGCTGGGATTTGCAAAATAATTCCTGTTTCCCATTTCAAAGGAGAGTCCTCCATGAACACTGACTTTCCATTGCAGAAAACCGAATCTTACCTTTGTTGTTTTTCTTTTCCTGATCTGCAGCTCCCAAGGACACCTTCAGCTGTTCTGCAGCTCGTGGAGCTAAAGAACTTGCAAATGCGCCGTGCGTTACAACCGTCTTATTTCTCAGCCACAGCAGGTCCCCAACTTCCTGTCGACAAAACAGGAAGCACATAGCTGACAACACTTAGTTGCATCAAACTGCATTCTCTGGTACCTTTAGAGCTGTTCCAACTAGATCAGGGGTCCTCAAACTTGGCCACTTTAAGATTTGTGGGCTTCAACTCCCAACATGGCTGGCTGAGGAATTCTGGGAGTTGAAGTCCACAAGACTTAAAGGGGCCAAGTTTGAGGACCCCTGATCTAGAGGAACATAAAAGATCTAGAACTCAGCACAGAATCACCTTTGGGCTTTCAAGTCTGACAAATGCTGTTGTTAGTTCAGCTTTATGCCGTTAGATTCTGTAGTCAATCACACTCAGTTAGGATTTGGTTGAATACTGATTTATCTGAACACTGGGTTAAAATAACAGGGATTTCTTTTCTCTTTTTTTTAACCATCATTTTTTTTTTTTGCCACTTTTTAAACATTCTTTGCAGTCCATTCCTAAACTTTTTTTAAAAAAAAAATCAAAATAGGAACTTGATTTACATATGCATTTCCGTTTCTGGTAAAATGAAAATGATGCTTTCAGAGGCTTAAATATTCTCCCCCCCCCCAGTTCCCATTTGATTTGATTTGCATTTGCATTTGAAAGAGGAAGAGAATGTTGGTGAAACATTCTTGGGCAAAGTGTGGTTTTCTTTTCTTTTTTTCTTTTAATATTTTTTATTGATTTTTAACGTACACCTTGATATTTGGTAAACATCGTGTTGTCTGGGTTAATGTTTGTTATACTAAGAAATGTACTAATTTAAGGTTGATAAAAGAGAATATTATTGGAAGAAGAGAAAATCAAGGAAAGCTACGATGTGGAGTATGGAATTATAGAAAATAATTGTTATTGATTGTTTGTAAATATAAACCCGGATAACACACTGTTTACCAAATATTAATGGTGATTATGTTAAAAAAATAATAAAATATATTATGAATTTTTATGAGGGGGGATTCTCAAATAAGTAAGATATCTAACAACTGTTTCCAAATCAATCAACAAGGTAATCAACAAGGTTGGACCCCACCTTCACAAAAGAGACATGTCCCCTTTATATTATTACTTTTTATAGGAATAGGATAATAAGCCACCTGGGAAAGCCAAGGGAAATCATCAAAACAATTAAAAAACGAAAATTAGAATATTTCGGACATGTGATGCAACACCCAGAAAAATACGGCATACTCCATTTAATCCTCCAGGGAAAGATGGAAGGCAAACAAGGTCCAGGCAGAAGAAGAACATCGTGGCTTCAAAATCTAAGGGCCTGGTTTGGACAAAACTCAGCTGCACTTTTTTGTGTGGCTGCTGATAAAAACAGGATCGCCAACATGGTGGCCAACGTCCGATAACGGATATGGCACCAGAAGAAGAATAGGAATAGGGTGGGATCAGGGTTGGGGTTGGAATTTGTGTTAGGGTTAGGGTTGGGGTTAGGGTTTTTACAAATAACATTTTCAATATTTAGCAAACAGCATAACGTCAGGGTTCATGTGCTTAAAGGAAAAAAAAACAATGAATAATAGATATCTTGTCTTACCTGAGTGTTTGAAGATGGTGGGACTTCACTCTCAGGCAGAGTGGGCCTGTCTTTCATCTCTCTGATCATTTGCTCATTATCAGGGCAATCCTGTTTGAAATACTTCCTTGGTGGGGGTTTGGGTTTGATGGACCGGGGTTTTCTAACCAGGATCTCGGTGCATTTTTTAGCAGCATGGGGTGAAAGGGGGTTGACATCTTGAGATCCTGACCGGGAAGACTCATTTCGTAAACTCATTTCACAAAACGAATGTCGGGAGCCTGGTGGCTGTGTAATCGCTACATCCAGATGATGGTCTTTTCCGTGGCCGTTGGTCAACTGATAAAGCAGGCCATTTCCACAAGAGGACCTGGGGTTGTAACTGCTATCACTGCTGGAACGGATCATTGGCTTTTGAGAAGGATGGTTGAGGTGGGCATCATTCTTCTCCAAGTATTTTTCACAGGGAGCTTTCTTAAGCCAGCTGCCCCCTACATTAAAAGTAGAACACGGACACAGTCAAACACTGCAGGGAAGAGATACAAGGTAATGGCTAGAATCCAAAGTCCTTCCCAAATGGTTCTGTGCATCCCAAAGGACCTGGGATTTTGTTTGAGGATTTCCCTTTCTAACACAGCTTACTTGCGTGGCAAAACATGAAGGTTGCAAAAGGTCTATGTTATCACCTGGGAAGCTGCAGTTCAGAGTTTAAAAATCTCCACTGGATCACTGTGTGCCAAGGAACTAATCTAAATTCCTTCTCGTTATTGATAACTGTCCAATATGGAATTGATTTTACCTTGTGGTCCACTAAAATTAATGCCTGCTTTACTAATACAAAAACAACGGCCACGTTATTTTTTTTATTTCTATTACAATTGCTCAAAGAACAATTAAGGTTTTCTTGGTGACGGTGAAGCTGATGATTCCTATTAGGAAAGGAGTTATTTCTTATTTTATGGTTTGAAAGTCTTGGAGTAATGATATCAAAGAAGATGCATTTCAACCCAATTTTTCTGGCTTTGGATGAACTGGAGAGGGCTGTATGTTACAATAGGGATGTTATATCCAGAACGTTCTAACGCTTTTTTACATCTTAGGAAAACAAAGAAAAAACCCCATTAAGTCAGTTTAGGTTCAGATCGAAGAAATTGATGGATTGTATTTTTAAAACTGTAGTTCAGTATTCTTCGCCATTTTGTCCCGGAAGATCTGGTTTTCTCTCTGTGATATCTGGGTACCAGCTGTAGTAACAGGTTAATGGACTACAAAAGTCTCTAAGCTGTTCTGGCCTGGTTGGATACTTCAACAACATGGCAAATTATTTGTATCTAAATTAAGGGGAAATCCTTACCTTCTGCATTCCAGTGGAATCTGTCTCTTTCAAACTTGTTGCTTTCCATAGCATTGGAAACAGCATCCTTTAGCTGCTGTTCAGAAACCTGCAAGAGGCCACAGGCCATCAAACCATGCTGAAAATTTTAAAGCTTGGCAAGAGTCTGCTTTAATTTCCATTTCCGCAATACTTTGTAATCACCTAACTACCAGTTTGAAGTCTCCCCTAGAACTATGGGTGGGTTTCACTATTACATTCTATTAAATTCTGAAGTTCAGCCTTTTGCCGAAGTTTTTAGTGAAGATATTTAAAGGGGGTTACTCAATGCAGAACGATACTTCATGCCAAGACTTGTGAACAACTCAACTTTGGGGTCTTCGTTGATCTAATGAAAATTAACCATTTTAATCTGATTTTATATATAGTTTTTTGCAGCACTTTGGATCCAAAAACAGCAACATACTTTAGAGCAAAGGGCTTCAAAGTTGGCAACTTTAAGACTTGTGGACTTCAACTCCCAGAATTCCTCAGACAGCCCTGGCTGGCTGAAGAATTCTGGGAGTTGAAGTCCACAAGTCTTAACGTTGCCAAGTTTGAAGAGCTCTGCTTTAGAGAACACAATATTAGGACTGTCTGCAGCTTTTTAAAACTACTGCATCTTTTTCCCCCCAAAAAAGAGATGGAGCTGCTTTAAGGAGTTTCACAGAGTTGCTATATGTGTGTCTTATGCATTCTGTAGCATCTTTCCCCTTCATTTTTGAAGTGCTACACAACATTAAGTTTAAGCAATAAGAATTAAAATACATGGTTGCTGTTAAGGGACAACAAAAATGAAAGAAAGAGAATGGCCAAAAGATTCCAAAGAAGGATGGTCAACACCTTTGCAAGGCTAGAGGCCTGATGAAACTCAGACTGGGTTTAGGTTCTCCACAATAGAAAGACTTTGCCAACAAGTGTTCTTGGTACTTGTGTGGCTTTGGGGGGGGGGCTACTTTGGCAGTTGTCCCAGTGCTTGGAGATCATTAAAATATATACATTTCTTTCATTTTCCACCTTACCTGTGGTTCAGGATGCCTGCTAATGATAATTTGCACAATGCCAGGATTGCAGTGGCTTAGGACAGCATGAACTTCGCTAAGGGTCATTGTTTGAACTGATGCCTCGTTGATTTCCACTATTTCATCTCCACCTCTTTGAGAAGATTGACATTAAAAACAATAACAAACACCAAGTGTTAACCCTAGCATTGTCAACATCGTATATTTTTTGCAGACCTGAAACATTACCAATGTGGTTTCTCTTTGCTACTTTAGGATTCCAAACACGGAGCCTGAAGCCCAAAGAATTTTAGCTTGTCTTCTACTGTCAAATGAGTAATCCATATATAGGCCAATTAAGGCAACAGGTTTTACGTTCTTCCTCTCACACTCTTTTTGATATAAAGGGGACATGTCTCTTTTGTGAAGGTGAGGTCCAACCATGTTGATTACCTTGTTGATTGATTTGGAAACAGCTGTTAGATATCTTATTTATTTGAGAATCCCCCCTCATAAAAATTCACTCCTTTTTAAAATATATTTTATTATTTTTTTTAACATAATCGCCATTAATATTTGGTTTATATTTACAAATAATAACAATCAGTTTCTATGATTCCATGCTCCACATTGTAGCTTTCCTTGATCTTCTCTTCTTCCAATAATATTCTCTTTTATCAACCTTAAATTAATACATTTCTTAGTATTTTAGTAGATAGCAATGGAATACAAAGATTTTTCTAGTATTTCTACAAGTAACAGCCACATCCCTATGAAGCTTCTTTTCTAATTAATCATCTCCATCCCTTTATCATAGATCCTGTCCTTAAAGTTCTTATTTCAATTTATTTTCCCCACAATGTTCAAAAACATTTTACCCGTTAAGATTTTTTTAGTGTTAAGTACACTTAAATATTTAAGTCTTTTTCCTCATACAAGCCTTCCCAACTGTTTTACATTTCTTATATCTTAAAACCGAAGAAGAAGAAGAAGAAGAAGAAGAAGAAGAAGAAGAAGAAGAAGAAGAAGAAGAAGAAGAAGAAGAAGAAGAAGAAGAAGAAGAAGAGGAAGAAGAAGAAGGAGAAAAGGAAATAATATACTACTTGAAAAACACTGACTCCTTCTAAGTTAGTTGGTTGGGTCACTGTTAATATAGCAATAGCACTTAGAGAAACCCAAGGCGCAAAGCTTAGGGACCACTGCTTAACAGCATTTTACAATGGCAGTTTACAATGTCAGCATATTGCCCCCAACAATCTGGGTCCTCCTAGGAAATGCTAATCCACCTCCCACTGCATTTAAGCGTGTTATGTGAAGAAAGTCAATGGTTGTTATCTCTTGCCCCTGTTTCACTAACGTGCAGAACAGATGGAGGCCCAGCTGAACAGAAAGGGTTCGACAAAGATTGACTCATGGCACAGAGAAAGAAGACGCAGGCTCCTGTTTTTGGTTTCATCTCACTCTTACTTCTCTAAACTTTCTCTGGATGCTCTGCTTCGCAAGAAGCAGCGCCTTGGCACAGAATTTAGCAGCTATGTTGTGCTTACAGTTTCTTTCTTTGTTGTTGTTGCAGCCTGGTCTTTCACTTTGCAGGGGAATTTCAATATTGAGATATTTCAAGGAAATCAAGAAAGAGAGGGAGGGAGGGAGGAAGAGGGAGGAGGAAGGAAGGAAGGAAGGAAGAAAGGAAGGAAGGAAGGAAGGAAGGGAGAAAGAGGGAGAAGGAAGGAAGGAAGAAAGAAAGAGGGAGAAAGAAGGAAGGAAAAAAGAAAGAAAGAAAGAAAGAAAGAAAGAGGGAGGGAGAAGGAAGGAAGGAAGAAGGAAAGAAAGAAAGAAAGAAAGAAAGAAAGAAAGAAAGAAAGAAAGAAAGAAAGAAAGAAAATTTTGCAATGCATGTGGATGAATTGAGTTTGCCCATAATGATTGTAAGGTATGCCCTTTTTTTCCAGGAGAAAAATTAGATTGGCTTAGAAAAACAAACTTGGCACTGTAACCTCTCGCCTTTTGAAAAAGTGGGAAGTGAATGTCAGAAAGCTTTGGAAATTATTCAGTCTTGACATACCTGAGCCTCCCATCCATGTGAGCCACAGACCCAGGCGAAAGAGTGTGGATGAATATCCCTGAAATGTACCGGGAGTAAGGGATGCTGCACAAGCCAATGCCGAGGCCCACACCAGCCTCTGTGGAAAATATATTAAAAAGAGAAGGAGAGGCAAAGAGGAAGTGAGCTATCCAAATGATTAAGGAATTGTGCCACTTCCCTCTACAGGCACTCTATGTCAATACTGAGCATTAGGCTTGCCCCTGTCCTCAACCATTCAGGATTTCTGCATGGGTACCTGGTAGAGTGTGAAGCTGTGACTTGTTTTATCACAATTTCACAAGCCAGAATAGTACACACATATTAAGACATTAAAACTGGTCCGCAAGCCATCACAGCCAAGTAGATGTGCTAGGCCAGTGATGGCGAACCTTTTAGAGACCGAGTGCCCAAACTGCAACCCAAAACCCACTTATGCATCGTCGAGTGCCGGGTGGGTGTGGCCCATTGGCTGGGTGTGGCCAATTGGGGGTGTGGCCCATTGGGTGGGCGTGGCCCATTGGGTGGGGGTGGCTGCGGTGGTAACAGCAGACTGGGTGGGACTAAAAAATTCAATCAATCAATTCCAACTTTGCAAGATCTTTTTTTTCCCGCGAGAAGTTGAAATTGACTGATTGATTGAACCTTTTTTTTTTTGTACATGGCGGCAGAGGCCTAAAGCGAAAAGGTTTTATAAAACCCAGCTGAAGGCCTAGGACTGGAGCGACGGCACGCGTGCCCAAAGAGAGGGCTCTGAGTGCCGCTTCTGGCACCCGTGCCATAGGTTCGCCACCACTGTGCTAGGCTAGCCAAACAAGTTTTTTTTTTATGAATCCAGTCATTATATTAGAAAGATTACTCTCTCAACTCCTGCCAAACCAGAAGATACTTTTGGCACAGCATCACCCAAAAATAAGGGGGGAAAAGGGCTCAGAGGGACAGTATATTTGAGCCAAGTCTATTCTGGAAACACTTGGGTTTTTTTTGGGGGGGGGGCTTGCTATATTTACTGCTCACCTTTATTTAAGGAAACTTCCATCATGATCCTGTCATCCGGGTTCATGGTACTCAGAGGAAACGCTGGGCTTTCTGGCCCAAAGGAGCTGTTCTCCTTGGTGATGCACATGCTGGTACTTAGAGAACGACAAAGATGAGACGATAAATAGCTGGTGGCCGAAGATGGAGTGCTGAAGCTTGTTCGAACGGTGAGTGTGAGGAGACCCTTCTTGGCCTGCTAGAAATAAGGAAGCCTTGTGAGAAGAAGGACGAGAAGAACATAGAGGAGGAGGAGGAGGATTGTGGGGTCCTTGGTGCTTTCTGAGCTTGGTTGTTTTCTTGCAAACATTTCATGACCCAACTAGCTAACATGGTCATTGCTAGAAGGGAGGAGGAGGAGGAGGAATACATGAAAGAAAAGGGGAAGGGCAAGAGTGGGGGGGGGAGAAAGAAAAGGAAGAGGAGAATTCATGTAGGAGAAAAAACATTGTACAAAGCCATCACCTTAAATTTCTGCAAAGCTTCATGGTGTGTGAGTCCATGCATTGATTCTCCATTCAATTCCAGGATTTCATCTCCTGTTGCATCAAAATAAACAATCTTATTAGCTAGGTTTTGGCACCTGCATTTCATCAGCTTCTCACCAACTAAGATTCATTAACCATTACACACACATTTTCCCCATTGGATAGCTGTACATAAGATCAAACTCACCAAACCCACTCGTATTTTTTTTTTAGGATAGACCTTCAAATGTTTACAGAACCCTCCTGTAAACCAAGCTGTCCAGTTCCAATTCATTCAAACACCGGGACAATGTTATCCTACCTTCCTGCAACCGGCCATCAGCAGCAGCTGCTCCGCCAGGAAAGATTGTCTTCACATAGATGCCAATGGGGCCATAAATGCTGTCTTGGCCACCCACAATGCTGAAACCCAATCCCTAATGGCAGGGAACAAAGGGGGCATTTTACATGATTAATCACCTGCTCCTTTTACTAACTGCTTAAACAAGCAATGAAAACACTTTTGTTTGTGAAAAGTTCCTGGAGGAAAAAATGTTTTTATTGGCCTTCAACTCTGAGCAGTCAAGTTGCGATACAGATATACATGCCCTAATTGTAAAACTAGATCCTATCCTATCCTCAACTCCAAAAGGCGGTGGGAATTTATTCTTAAGTAGCCATGGATGCATCAATCCTCCTGTTGGTTCAGGATGGTTTTCCTTGCATGCATTTATAGATCTGTACCATTCAAATCCCGCACATTCCAATAACATTTAAAATTTATGGGGAAAAACATCAATTTCTTGCTTCCTCCTTAGAACGGGCTTTTACTATTGGAATGAAGGAGTGGTTTAATTCATCACAGAATTAGTAGCCAGTTGCAGAAGCCTGCACAGAGCAGGTCATTTTTGGATAGTTATTTTTTATGCCTTTTCAAGAACAATAAGGATAACAGTATATTATTGCACTGAGCCCCTGATTTGTTAGGATGAAAGAGCAATCTTGAAATTTTAAACAGAAACGAAATCTGCCAGTATCTCCAGATCAGTGTTTCTCAACCGTGACAACTTGAAGACGTGTGGACTTTTGACTCCCAGTTACATGGCTGGGGAATTCTGGGAGCTGAAGTCTACAGGTCTTCAAGTAGCCAAGGTTGAGAAACATTGCTGTAGACCAATCTCTCCCTTAAAGGAAGACTGGAGTTTTTAAAAATGGACTCCAGAAAACCATTTTGGTCCCAGTGTTCCTATGTATTATCCAAGAAAGACATATAACAAAGCAGAGACCTCACCTTCCCTTGCCCTTTCATTAGAACAATGTTGGATATCATAGAGGCCTGTAAACCTGAAGATGTGGACATGAGGTGGGCGGTACTTAGTGAGCGAGATGATCTGGAGAGAGGCTACAGTTGAAAGAAACAGCAAGGAAAGGTTAGTATAATACTGGAGGAATTTTTTTAAATTATATTTTTATTTAAAGCAGTGGTTCTCAAACTTTTTAATGCCGCGACCCCCAACCGGTCGTAAGTCAAGGACTGCTCAACCGGTCCTAAGTCGAGGACTACTCAACTGGTGCAGCACCGTTTGCAGAATGGGACTTTTGGCGGGCTCAGCAGGGCAGAGACAGCCTGGACAATTCCTATTGGCTTTTGAAAGCCAATAGAATTAGACTCTATTCAAGAGAGTCTATTCTATTGGCTTTCAAAAGCCAATAGAATAAAAGGGAGTAGCACAGCTAAGGAAAAGGGGGGAAAAAATGGCGGACTGCGTTGTTTGGCGACCCCCGTGAAATGGTCATTCGACCCCAAATGGGGTCCCGACCCACAGGTTGAGAACCATTGATTTAAAGTATCACAATTTTTTGCCTACAACAGAGTTGTGAATTACATGCTGGTGACCTATCTTTCATCATTCTTCATAACCAGTGAGGATTGTAGTTGTAACATACAATCAGGCTCCAAATGGCTCTATTGCATCCACATCTCCTCAAGGTTTCTGTTGGTGCCATGCAGAGACTGGAATCCTGCTTCTTTTTCCTGTCTTTATCATTCAAAATTTGCTTTGGGAAATCTTTTTCAGAGAAGGAGAGTTTCCTTGGAGTGAAACTCTCCTAGCTGGAGGGTTCTGTTCTTGCATTTATTTAATTAGGAAGTCACCAGGGATGTGTATTAATGGCCACTTCCTAATTATATAAGTGCAAAAACACCACACACATAACAAATTATCTTTAATTGAACAATCCTTGCTCTCTATCAGTCTCCTAGGCAGAGAGAGGCATAGCCCAGCTCTTGAAAAACTGCTGGAGAATTTCTCCTTTCCCTGGATAAATTCAGGAAAAAGGACCCTCCCAAGTTTTGAGGTGGAGAATTCCTGAAGACCAAAACCTTATTTCAATTCTAACTTGCTCATCCAGCAACTAAAGGATTCTAACCGATTCTGCAAACAGAGTAGCAATATGCATTTCACTGAGGATTTACAGTCCTTCAGGGACACTGAAGGTAAAGAGATGCAGGTGATGTTCTCCTTGGTCCATAGAAGTGACCTCATTCTTCTGAGGTCAAGGACTTCTGGAAAACAGGCTGCTTTGCTGTAGGGCAGCCAAACCAGGAAGGAAGTGTTTGGCCCGAAAGCTGCATTTCCATCAGCATTGTCATTTCTTGACCGTTCCACAGATGGAGCGCTAAAGTCCGGTGGGCTTCCTTTTCCGCTTACCTTGACAGCTGCTTTTTCTGCTGCATTCTCCAGCTGTTGAGAGAATGACTTTCGGTTGCTATAAAGGGACTGTCTGTACCGAGAGGCTGACTTCTTGACCACAGAACAATCAACGTCTCCTATCCAGTATGGACTAGCACCTTAAGAGGGGGGAAAAAGTAGACTGAACTGAATACTTTATTTGGCCAAGTGATGTTAGACACGCAAGATGTTTGTCTCACAAATCATCATCATCATCATCATTAGGGGAAGTAGTAAAGAAGATAATGAGAAGGATAAAAATAATACTGCAGCCATACTACACGGATAGATAGATAGATAGATAGATAGATAGATAGATAGATAGATAGAGATAGATAGATAGATAGATAGATAGATAGATAGATAGATATAGATAGATAGATAGATAGATAGATAGATAGATAGATAGATAGATAGATAGATAGATACTAGACAATATTGTGGGAATTAGGTGTTCAGCAGAGTGATGACAGGAAAGAAAAACCTGTCCCTGTGTCTCTAGTTGTTTTGGCTTGCAGTGCCCTCTAGCGCCATCTTGAGGAGAAGAGTTGAAACGGTTTATGTCCAGGGTGTCATGGGCCTGCAGATATTTTCTCAGCCCTCTTTCTGACCCATGCAGTAGGTCTTCCGTGGAAGGCACGGTGATTGCAGTTGTCCTGGTCTGCAGTCCTAACTATCCGTTGGAATCTGTACCTGCCCTGTTTGGTTGCTGTACCAAACCAGATAGTTATAGAAGTCCAGCAGTGTTCTTCTATAGCAGATAGGAGGGTTCCAGTATCTCAGGGGCTGACCCAAAGAAGAGGGAGTCAAGCTATTCTCCAAAGCGCCTGAAGGCAGGACAAGAAGCAACAGATGGAAACTCATCAAGGAGAGAAGCAACCTAGAACTAAGGAGAAACTTCCTGACAGTTAAAACAATTAACCAGTGGAACAACCTGTCTCCAGAAGCGGTGAATGCTCCAACACTGGGAGTTTTTAAGAAGAGACTGGACAGCCATTTGTATGAAATGCTATAGGGTTTCCTGCTAGGGTAGGGGGTTAGACTAGATGACCTCCAAGGTCCCTTCCAACGTTATTTATTATTATTGATCATCGCACAGTCAGCCAGATGTTCAGACTGGATTTGGCATTTTTGTCTACCTATTGAGTCCTTCCCAAGGACCTGGGATAGGCAGATGTGGATATTTGATGGTATCACAGATATCGTTGCAGGATGGAAGCAGTTGTTGTTGTTGTTATTATTACAAATGATAGACTCAATAATTCTTCTGTCAAACTGTATCAGCAGCTCCTGGCATAGTTTGAACTATGCAGGAAGACATTCTTTCTTGGGTCTTTTTAATGATGGTTTTAATGTTAGGCGTCCATCTCAAGTCCTGGGAGATTACAGAATCCCCAAACTTGCAAGATTCCAGTGCTGATATCGTGCTTTTAATCCTAGGAAGAGGTGATGGGATATAAATCTCCTCCTAAAGTCCACTCTCATCTCTACAGTTTTAAGCATGGTAGAGATAAACAACTTGACTGCCTTTCTTTCCAGAACATTCCTACTTCACCATTTTTAATAGGCATCTGCAGGCATCTCCTCCCCTTTCTTATCGTCATCTCCAGAATGGGAATCATTAGATTGCTACACTTTGTACAGATCTTGGTGCAGCAAGGCCGAATCAATGTCAAGTGTGCATTATGCACATCTGCGTGCAACTGTACGTAGCCTAAACTGCAGAAACTTACTGGCTGAATTGCTGCGCGTCCGCTGGCATTTGGCTTTCGTCTGCAGAATGGATCCATTTGGCAGGTCATGTTTAGTTGGCTGCTCCTTATGAGGGCCACCGGACGATTCCTGGGAGAATTGGGGGGAAAGGCACAACATCTTAAGTATGTGCAATGATTTAAAAGTAGGCTGTGTGTTGGTGTCAAAATTCACCCCTAGGTAAACAAGGAGAGCCCACTCTGGCATTAGCCTAAAATGTGAACAATCCCTTTTAAACTAAATCAAGTTTTTTTTTCAAACTTAGCAACTTGAAGATGGGTGGACTTCAACTCCCAGAATTCTCCAGCCAGCACTGGGGAAAAATACTGACCTAAATGGTAATGGGAGAAAAGATGGAACTCTTCCCCACTTCTCAGTCACATCCAGGCAAGGATTCCTTAATCCTTTGGGCAAACTCTAACACTGAGCCTTTAGTTCGGAGCCCACTGCAGACACAAACTGCATGAATTTCTGCATCAGTTGCACCTTACATAAACGGAAATTTCACAAAAGGTCTCTTGACAAATTGGAAGGTTATGAGCAAGATGGTGCAGACACATTACAAAACTCTAGGCCTGTCACTGCGATGTGCATGCCTTGTGGGATATTGCAGATTTAAAATCAGTAACAGGAAACGCTGATAAGGAAGAGGCCCAATTAGTTAAATACACTGAACACTAATATACTTGGTGCTTTCTGAGGTTGCTTGTTTTCTTGCAGACATTTCATTACCCAAACTAGTTAGCATCATCCGATCTAATCCATGCTACTTAAATACTCTATAGCCAAAAATGGAATAGGCATAATTGTATGTGCTTTAAGCTGTGGCCATTGTTTTGTGCAGGCAACCTTGGCAGGGATGAGTAAATAAATGGGTGTCAATAGTAGTGAGAAGGAGCAGAGGTTGCTGCAGTCCAGTCTTTCCCCAGTCATTTGTAGGAATATCAGAGAGGAGAACAAATGTTACTCATGACGGTGAAGGGCACTTAGGGTTAGTTCTTTAGAACAGAACAGAACAGAATAGAATAAGAATTAGGGAATAGAAATAGGGAATAGAATAGAAATAGGGAATAGAATAGAATAGAATAGAATAGAATAAGAATAAGAATAAGAATAAGAATTAGGGAATAGAAATAGGGAATAGAATAGAAATAGGGAATAGAATAGAATACAATAGAATAAGAATTATAATTAGGGAATAGAAATAGGGAATAGAATAGAATAGAATAGAATAGAATAGAATAGAATAGAATAGAATAGAATAGAATAGAATAGAATAAGAATTATAATTAGGGAATAGAATAGAATAGAATAGAATAGAATAGAATAGAATAGAATAGAATAGAATAGAATAGAATAGAATAGAGCTGGAAGGGACCTTGGAGGTCTTCTAGTCCAGCCTCCCGCTTAAGCAGGAGAACCTATACCATCTCAGACAAGTGGCTGTCTAGCCTCTTCTTAAAAATCTCCAGTAATGGAGATTTTAAATTATAAATTAATAAATTATAAATTAATAAAAACTGTAACATCAGGGGGAAACCTCCCCAAAAAACTTGGAGGTGCGTTCTTGACATAGAGCATTCTTCGTAAAGACTTGAGTTCCTTTCTCCTGCAGCAGATGGCGTCTTGGTGAAGGCAGCTGAACCTTGCCGTTAATCTTCCATGATGACTGAATTAATACTTTTACTGTTTTTCTTCTGGCACTGCTCCTCTGCTGCAGGGCAGGTAGAATTTAAACTGGTGAAGCCACACACCCCCCCCCCCAGGTTGATGTAGCTGGGAGGAAAGTTGTGCCTTTTGTAATCCTATCAGTTGTTTGTCAACTAAAAGCATAGGTGTGTGCCAGCCAAAGGGGGGGGGGGGAATGGAAAAGCTTTGCATTTTTCGACCTGAATTTAGTTACATTCCTTACAGCTTTGCGTTCTGTAAGAATCAGCGCTCCTGGCACCTGCCAAAGAGGTTAGGGGTGCTCCTAAATATCTTAAGAAGGTTAGGGGTGCTCCTAAATATCAGAACTCTTTGGTCTTGCCATTCTTGAACCTGGTTTTTTTTTTCTTTTCTTTTTTTCTAGAGAGAAGAAAAAACCCTTGACCTATCCTGCCCTTTTGGGTAGCAGAAACAATGGGCAAATGGGGAAAGTGAAAAGAGATCTTATTCTGGAAAGCTACAGCCAGCTCTAAGTGGAACAGAGAAGTAGCGATAGCACTGATGATGTTACCTAGTTGGGTAATGAAACGTCTGCAAGAAAACAAGCAAGCTCAGAGAGCACCAAGGACCCCACAGCTCTCCTCCTCCTCTTCCTCCTCCACCACCACCACCGTCTAGCACTGATGACGTTTCCTACTACTTTGGGTAATGAAACGCCTGCAAGAAAACAAGCTCAGAGAGCACCAAAGACCCCTCATTTCAGCCCTGAGCTACCAATATTCTCCTTCGTTGGAACAGAGCGGTCTCAACTCTTCCACTTACCTTATTAGCAATCACTAAATTAACCAAGCCTCTGGCAGACTGGATGAGCGATTCGGCCTCTTTGCTGCAAAGCTCTTTAAGAGGTTGCCCATTGACTGTTAAGAGCTCATCACCAGGGCTTAAACGACCATCCCTTGGAAAGAAAAGAAAAAAGAACACACAGCAATAGTGTCATCAGTTCTTTCTTCAAAGGGAATCCCTGCTTTTTTTTGAGCTGCTGGTGATTCTGTTCGGGTCATGTTTACATTTGCCAATCACAAGAGTCTCAGATTAGGGGAGGCTAACAAACCAGCTTCTTCTAATTTTTATTAAGACAAATAGAAAGAATAAAAACTAATATAAACTACGGAAGGAAGGAAGGAAAGGAGGAGGGAGGGAGGCAGGCAGGCAGGCAAGCAAGCAAAAGAGCTATATCTGGACCAAGATCAGTGAGGAAGGAAGGAAGGAAGGAAGGAAGGAAGGAAGGAAGGAAGGAAGGAAGGAGGGAGGGAAGCAAGCAAGCTAGAGAGCCATGTCTGGACCAAGATCAATGAGGAAGGAAGGAAGGAAGGAAGGAAAGAAGGAAGAAAGGAAGGAAGGAAGGTAGGAAGGAAGGAAGGAAAGCAAGCAAGCTAGAGAGCCATGTCTGGACCAAGATCAATGAGGAAGGAAGGAAGGAAGGAAGGAAGGAAGGAAGGAAGGAAGGAAGGAAGGAAGGAAGGAAGGAAGGCAAGCAAGCTAGATAGCCATGTCTGGACCAAGATCAATGAGGAAGGAAGGAAGGAAGAAAAGCAAGCAAGCTAGAGAGCCATGTCTGGACCAAGATCAATGAGGAAGGAAGGAAGGAAGGAAGGAAGGAAGGAAAGCAAGCAAGCTAGAAAGCCATGTCTGGACCAAGATCAATGAGGAAGGAAGGAAGGAAGGAAGGAAGGAAGGAAGGAATTAATTTCCCCCTTCATTCCAGCAAATAAAAACAATTTTATAGCATTTCTCTCTTTACCCCATAACTCATCTGTTAACTAAAAATCCAAAAGTCTCATCATTTGTTCTTTATCATCAAAAATTCAATAAGGGAAACCAGATATAACTAATTTTTATTATAACCCTGGTCAAATAAGCATTCTTTCTCCGAACTTTTATCAGTTTACTTTTTGACCCCTCTAAATATGGTCCTGGAGCTTTTTTCATGTTCATCTTCTTCTTTACCCCAACATCTTTCAAACTTTAACAGACCTCTCTGATATATCCAGTAAACAGAATTTGTCTTTTTTTTTTAAAGTCACTTCTCATAAAATGCTTCAAGACTTTAACAGACCTCTTATACACATCCAATAAGGAAAAAAAAATCACAAATTATAAACTGACAATGGCAGCTTTTTATAAAGAAAATGTATATAAAATAGATGGCACTTGCCACTAGCAAGATAGGGAAAATGTTTAAAAATATGTCAGATAGATGTTGAAAATGTAAACATAAGTCAGGTACTTATTATCATGTCTGGTGGACATGTGTTAAAACAATGAGATACTGGAAAGAAATAGATACTTGTCTGGAAAAGATGTTGGGAAAACAGGTAGATTTTAAACCTGATCTTTTTTTTAATTAGGTATTATGCCAGAAAATCAATTGATTGATTGATAAACAAAGTATATATTTGATTTTACATGTGATAACAGCGGCAAGAATCATATTTGCACAATATTGGAAAAAGGAAGAAATACCATCAGAGGAAGAAATAATTTTTAAAAAATACTAGAATGTGCGGAAATGAGGTTGAAAGAAAAAGAAGAAACAGAACACTATCAGACTTGGGACTTGTTTTACCAATGGCTGGAGAAAAGAATAAAGAATTAGGAATTAAATTTGTAATAGTGAATGATAAACTCGGACAACACGTTGTTGAATAAGTACTATTGAATTGTATGGAAAAATAATAATAAACATTTTACAAAAATGAAAAAGAAATCACCAATGATTTTGATTTTTTTTTTAATCAGCCTGAAGTCATAAGAAGTAACATGGGATAGAGAAGCACTGCACATATTTATTTCTCTTTTGCTATATATACCCTTGGCTTAAGTCGCTGAGATGCCAGATAATGTTTACAAATATTCTGATTTCTCTGTTGGTGTAGTAGAGCTCTATGAAAGAGGGCTTCCATGGTGAAAGCAAATTGCAATATCAATTTCCTTTCTTGGCTGACAGCTTGAATGGGGGAGGAAGACCACCTTTGATAGAGACCTCCTCAATCTGTTCACTCAAATGAGAAATATACACGCTTGCAAGGTTAACTGCAGAATGGGAGAAATGCAAACTATTTATATAATTACACCATATCTTAATATCTCTGCTGAACAATGTGCGTAAGAAAATGCTACTCTTCTCATATCCTGCTTGTAGAGTTCCCGTCACTGTCTGGTTTGCCGCACAATTTCTACAGAAAGTGGCTATATAGTCTACCTTCCTACTCAGTGCAGGATCTATAGGACTAGGTGTAAAACTGCAGCCTCCTGGACAGGTAACCTCTTTCAACCTCTTTTCAAACTCCTCCAGCAAAGAGGAGACCACAGGGTTGTTTCTTGAGAAGTTTCTCCTGACATCTTCCCTGCAACGCTTTCTACACAGCATTCGGAGAATAGCAGAATAGCATAGTTGGAAGGGACCTTGAAGGTCTTCTAGTCCAACCCCTGCTCAAGGAGGACATCCTATGCCTTTTCAGACCAATTGCTGTCTACTCTCGTCTTAAAAATCTCCAGTTTTGGAGCACCCACAACTTCTGGAGGCAAGCCTTTCCATTGATTAATTGTTCTCACTGTCAGGAAGTTTCTCCTTAGTTCTAGGTTGGGTCTCTCCTTGATTAATTTCCATCTGTTGCTTCTTGTCCTGCTCCCAGGGGTTAAAATAGCACCATTTTCCTTTATCATCCAGGAAACAGTTCTTCCAAAATTTGAAGTCTGTTATTATCTCCCTCCTGAATTAAGTCATTTTCAGTGCTTAGGTAAGTAGGAAGATAGGGTATAGGGTCTTTCAATATCGTCATCGTTACCACTGCCACCGTCGCCACCTAAGTTAAATATGCATGATTATGTGGTTTCCTAATGGGATTTTGTAACATACCTCTGAGCAGCTCCCCCGTCAATCACGTGGCTGACCATGAACTCTTTACCAAAAGCAGAGCCACTGGAAGTCCTGCAGACTTGGATTCCCAGCCCCTCGTTCCCAGTGGCAATGCAGAGCTTCCAGATGCAGCTGTCCTGGTTGGGAAGACAGGAAGACACTTGAAAGCCTGTCAATCCAGCTTCCATTACTTTGTTACCTCCTAGCTAGGTTGGGCTACAGCTCCCAACATCCTGAGCTCTGATGACCCATTAATGCTGTGGACAAGGCCATTTACCACAGAGCTGGTGTAGACCGAGACGCTCTTTGCGCAGACCCCCAGCTACTTCTTGTTGTGTGTGCTATTGCAACAGCTTTTCATCACAGCCACTATCTTTGTTCCTTTCCAAGATAAAACAGCCAGGAACCCGATAGGGATGCAACATCCTGGGGCAGCGGTAGGATTCAAATATGTGAACAACCAGTTCTCTGCATGGATACCACTTCCGGAAGTCCGTTCTGGGCCTGGGCAACAAAAAATTAGCTACCGGTTCTGCCGAACTGGTGCAAACTGGCTGAATTCCACCCCTGTCTTGGGTGCATAATCTGTGCTGCTGGTTTAAATGGAATCCCCACCACCAGATTCCCTAGGCCAGGGGTAGGCAACCTTGGCTCTTTTATGACTCGTGGACTTCAACTCCCAGAATTCCTGAGCCAGCATGGCTGGTACAGGAATTCTGGGTATTGAAGTCCACGAGTCATAAAAGAGCCAAGGTTGCCTACCCCTGTTCTAGGCGATGTTTGGAAGGCAGTTCACGTGTGATAGAAGGGGGGAGAAGGAAGAGAACCTCCTTATCCAAGCATTGCAAATGCCAGACAAACAGAGGCACGGATTGTCTTCCTACCTTGATAAAGAACTTCCTCTTCATATTCTTACAGCTGTCGCTGGCATTGGTCCTCAGCTGCACCATGCTGGCAATCGTAAGAGGATCGGACGTGGCGTCCTGGCTAGGCGAGGAGCACGCCAGCTGAAGTGGAGGGCATGGTTCTTTGTGACTCCAGCTGCCTTGGCTCTCAAAGGGGTTGGCATATTTGTCATCCGGGCTTGAGCCATCATCGCTGGTCCTACCATTGCAGAGGATGAGCGACCGGGAAATGGAGCGCAACGTTTTGGATTTCCGCCCTTTGGTGCTATTGTGCCGTTCCATCGTTGGGAGACCCAGGAATCGGTGGTCAATTGGTCATGCCGGTTAATTTCACTTCCTCCAGTGTCTGCAGCTGAAGATCCAGATGGAAGAGAAATGCAGGGGAAGGAGAGGGGGAGGTGGGGGGGGGGAATGAGAAAAAGAAACTCATCAGCAAAATGTTTCATCTTTCTAAACCACCCACCTCTAGATTTCATAAAAGACAAGAGGCTCTTAGTTCTGAAGGAGCAAGTCACGAGGCATCACATTGATAGTAGCTCTGTGTATTCTTTTTTTTTTTTTTTAAAGTTAGACATATTTCTCATTCATCTCTCTGGTTGTTATTTTTTTCTACCCAAACTGTCTGAAAGAATCAAAACCCTATTCAGGCAACTTGTTTTGCTTTATTGCAGGATTAAGCTATTTTCTGGGTTCCTACAATACATTCAACCAGAAGCTAACCAGCCTTTTCCAGCTCATACAGACCAGAACTTGAAAACTACATTTTTCTTTGGCTTCAAATTCCTGATGGAGTAGCTGTAAATGTTGGTCTTTCCAGGTTCAGATGAGATGTTTAGCCTTAGAAATATGTATAGAGTACGATTTAAAAGCCATATGAGTTTTGGGCGGATGTAAGACTGAAAGTACACACATTCATATTAATTGTCTTGGTGAGCTTAATGTGTTGTGTGAATTGGTTTCCAAGTCCAGTGTTCAGCGCTGAAACAGATGGGGAAGTCGTGTGCCCATAGTCACTGGAGAAATATAAACAGAGACTGGATGGCCATCTGTCAAAAATGCTATAATTGCAGGATTTCTGGATGAGAAGTTTGAATAAACTTCAAGATCCAACTTAATACGTAAAAAAAAAAAGGAGCTTTCTCTTTTACTGTTCTTTACAAAGTAAAATATAAATTAAAACTTGCCTTTAGGAATTTTTCTTAGATTTGGAGAATCACAACATATGTGAGGTGGGCTCCTCATATTATAAAAGAGTTCTGTGTAACTCTGAAGGAACCAGATCAACAGAAGACAGTCTCATGTAGTAAAATTGGATCTCTTACCATCTGCAATCTTGGCTAAATATACAGATCATCTCTAAATCCTACATAATCATCCTGTCTTTCTAAAAGGTACCATATTGCAAATAGAAACGAATCCCTCTGATCATAAATCATGTCAAATCAAATCCGTCGGATCAACAAACCAAATCAAAATAAAAAAGAAAGTCATGATGCATAAAATAAGTGACTTATAAAAATCACACCTCAAATAATAAATCAAGTCCCTCTGATCGTAAATGAAAGATACAGAATCATCTACAAGAGGAATATTTAGGACAAAATATATATACATAACCTTGTATTGTATTGTATTGAAGCCCCCCCCCCTCCCCCAGCCATTTTCTTCAATTGTGTTCACTCCCTCTTTCCAGGAAGATCTTAACAGGTGATGGAAGTAATTGAAGAAGAAAAAAGAAGAAGACCAGTGGGCTTGGCGGGAAAGAGAAAAGATGAAGAGCAAATGCTCTCGATTAGAAGACAAGAGGGATGCAGGATGAGAGTAGAAAGCTAGAAAGCATATTTAGACCGAATAAAGTCCTTTTACTCCTAATCTTGGCTTGGAAACTTCTGTATCTGACAGGTTGAGGTGGGGTTGGAAAAAAAAAAAACCCAAAACCATCCTTTGGGCTGGTCAAGCACAAAATTAAAACATTTCACTGGGTTGCTACACGGGATGGGGAAAATCTAGATTCTTAAGCAGGCAGGGAACTTGTGAAAAAAATCCATCTCATGTTATTACACCCCCCCCCCCTTTCACAAATCTGCAAACATGCACATACCATGAGGCCCACCGAAGCAAAGAGTCCAGTTGCAATAAAGCGGATGATGCTTATCCTTCCAAGAAAGTGCGGTCCACCTGGTCCATAATCAACGTTTGGACCCTAGGACCAGCACAGCGTGTCCCCAGTCATTGCATTTTGTTCTCTCTTTCCCTGTCCCCCTGGCCTGCCAGGAACAAAGCTCTCTCGCCTTGTTTTGGTAATCCAAACCAAATGTTAACTGGTTGGCTGATTTCTCTCTTCCCCCACTTGGCTCTTCCTCCTCCTCCTCCTCCTCCTCCTCTTCCTCCCCCCCTCCTCCCCTCTCGCTTTTGTGCTAAAATCACCCCAACCTGTTTTTGTTCGGTACGTCAATAAAATAAACGACGTGCCAGGAAAAGACCCCATTTGGTTCCCATTTGGAGGGACCGAAACGGAACCCTTTTTGCAAAGACCGAAAGAGTTAACGGAGCTGCGGGAAGCCTCAGATCTTCCCTCGGCCCAACACGAGGTTTTTCTGCCGATTGGCTCGAAGCGGTGCAATGCAAGCCCTTCGCATCTCGTTCCAAGTGGGCTTGGCACCCTCTCTGCGCCTCGATCCCTTCCCTCCCTCAATTCATCGGAAAGCATCAGATGCGTCTTAAAAGCACCCAGTCGATAGGTTCCTTCCCCAATCCCCCTCAACCGTTGTCTTCCAGAGAGAGGTTGCAACCGTGCTATGGGGTAGGAAAAGCATCCATAACCCAACCACCCACCCCCTTTTTTTTTCCTTCTCAAAATGAAAGCGTTTAAAAAGGACTTACAACAAAGCTGGAAACAAACAAAAAAAAAAATCACAGACTCCTTCAGAAGGCTGTTTGTCTTCGCCGGCCTGGCAGGAAGACTCAAGTGCAATAATTGGAAACACACCCTCCGACCGTCACATGACTTTATTTCAGTAATTCTCTACAGGGTATATAGACTCCTCGAGAGCCCAGCTATTGTTTCTGGACTGCAAAAGAAGCAGTCATCATAATAAGCCTGGCTCTGAGCAATGCGGGCTCTTCAAGGTATCCCCTCCAGATGCTATTCCCCCCCCCTTGCCGGGAGTGATCGGCTGCATATTTCTTGATTATAAATCAAGGGCGCACAGATTGCCCGCGGAGACAGTCCTTCCTTCCCCAAGACCGCTTCTGCTGGCTGCCAGTTTTCAGCAAGTGACTAGGAACGAAAGGGAGTGACTGTGCTGGTTTCCCACCACGTCCTCAGCCGGGGCTGAACCGAGATGGAGCCAACCAGGGCTGTATGGTCTGCTGTTTTTGTTGTTTTTTTTTTCCATTTAGATGTAGCCTCCGAGGCGGGCACAGTGCCCAAGTTGTGACACGTCGGTTGCACGTTTCTTGTTTGGCCATCGTTATTTTCTTCTTTCTTCATTCACATCAGGGGTGTCTGCAAGGTGTGGTCAAAAAAGTCAGGATAATGGCATGGAGTGTGTGTGTTTGAAACTTGGCCCGGTTTTTTTAGGTGTGTTGCTGCACAGACAGTCCTGATTCCCAAGCAAACCGCTACATCTATTCCCCAATTAGGTGCAACCCTAATTGGGGAATTAACAGAAGAAGAGAATAAGGGAAGGGACCTTGGAGATCTTCTAGTCTAGCTCAAGCAGGAAGCCCTATACCATTTCAGACAAATGGTTGTCCAGTCTCTTCTTAAAAACTTCCAGTGATGGAGAACCCACAACTTCTGGAGGCAGGTTGTTCCACTGGTTAATTGTTCTTACTGTCAGGAAGTTTCTCCTTAATTCCAGGTTGCTTCTCTCCTTGATTAGTTTCCATCCGTTGCTTCTTGTCCTGCTTTCAGATAAAGAACAATTCTTCATCATTTAAGGAGGGAGTGTTTACCAGAGAGGTAGGGAGAAGCTAGAAGAGCAGAAGTCAAAATTGGCTGGTTATCACTTCTATGATACTCTCTCTTCCTAGTGACTCTTTTTCGACTTCCCTTTTCTTTTTCACCTTGGCATCAATTTCTCCTTCTCCTAAGTAGCTGGCTGCCTTGGAAAGAACAGAGAGTTTTTACTTCAAGGGCCTCCCTGCTCAACTGCAGTGGGCTTTTAAAATTGGGCAGCGGGCCTCTGGTTAGCCACCCCAGTTATAAAAGGCTGTCCTTCAAGGCAGAGGTTTGCAGTCAAGATGATAAGCAACAAGGAAGATTTTCTTTATTAATCTCTGAAATGGTGACTATGAACTAACAAGAGCAATAGCACTTAGACTTATATAGCACTACACAGTGCCTCACGGCCCGCTCTAAGCGGTTTACAGAGTCAGCCTATTGCCCCCAACAAACTGGGTCCTCATTTTACTATCTTTGGAAGAATGGAAGGCTGAGTCAACCTTGAGCCAGTCAGGATCAAACTCCAGGCTGTGGGCAGAGTTAGCCTGCAATAGCAATAGAACTTAGACTTATATACCGCTTCAGAGTGCTTCACAGCCCTCTCTAAGTGGTTTACAGAGTCAGCATATTTGCCCCCAACAATCAGGGTCATCATTTTACTGACCTCGGAAGGATGGACGGCTGAGTCAACCTTGAGCCGGTTAGGATTGAACTCCAGGCTGTGGGCAGAGTTAGCCTGCAATACTGTGTTCTAAGCACTGCACCACCACAGTTCTTGCAAACTAGTGACATTTCTGTTCCTCTTTGGACCCCAAAATCTACCTCTTCAGTGGGAAAAACTTCACGTGTTCCCCAAAATTTATTTTTTTCACTTACTTACTTGTTCTCTACATCCATGTACCCACCATTACTTTCCGTATGGCTACCTACAAACATTTTGGGTTCGAATCTGCTGTGTGAACCCAGGTAATTGTATTTATTCCATGAACCATGATTAAGCACATCATCAGCTCAACCCTCAACTGAGCTCTGGGAAGAAGAGATGGTCTATTAGATCATCTGCTCTCCGAATGCTCTAGCTTAAATCGAGGGCCAAACAAACACTCTCTAAGTTTATAGCCCTTTTGGGGATTCTCCCCTTTCCATTTAGGATTCCAAGAATATTGCAAATGCTGCCCATAAACCGACAGTGTTTTGTGGAAGGAGGGGGTTGGCATGTTTGTTGATCTATCACTTACACACACACACACACACACACACATACAGCCCACCATCAGATTTATGGAGCAGAAAATGTTTATTGTCTGATGCAGTGACTGTTTCTAGCAGGAATTAGGCACGAAAAAGCTCATCACTCCCAGATGAACCAGCCAATGTCTTTGGCAGCTGGGGGTTCATTTTATGTGTAGGTGAAATATGGCAAGGTTTTTTTTTTTTTTTTTAAGGGAGGCTGGATACACCATGTGACGAATAGGAAAGATCAATACGGGATTGTTAAGCAGTAACGACCACACAACAACAACAACAAAGTGCAACCATTCTTTCCATGCAAACACAATGTGGCATTCCCACTACGATAGGAATGCTACATTTTAATAAAGATTGGACAAAGCGGCTATGCATTTGGAGAATATCTGTGGGAGGATAGAAGGGGAGTTTAAACGTCTTTTAAAATCTGCCTGGCTGGACCAGACTCATCAAGGTCCATCCATCTTACGTTTCGAAAGACAGACAATCCACAAACAGAGAGCAAAACCACATTCCTTCCAACACTGATGATGTTACCCAGTTGGGTAATGAAATGCCTGCAGGAAAACAGCCAAACTCAGCACCAAGGACCCCCACAGTTTAACCTTGTCTTCGGGTATAAGTTTAAACCTTGTCTTTGTAAAGGGAGATTCACGTTTTGCTGTTATGGTTCGACATTAATGGCTGCAACAAATTTTATAAATCGTCTAACATTTTTCCGTTAAGCAAATAAATATTTTTTCCTGAAACTACAACTTCAGGAGAAATGAGAAGGTAAAATCCAAAGATGAAGAGAGGATAAGCCGAACCGCTTTCTGTTCAGCGGATGAGATAAGTACAAAATCCTGGCTCATCCTTTTCAGAGTTGATCTGTATTGGGACCCCCAATTCAAACAATCAATCAAACAGTAAATAACAGCCTCATCAAGGAACTAACAAGAAGAAAACAACTCTCCCAACAATAGAGACCGAGCAAGCTACTGTATATAAACAGAGAGCGAAACCCCATTCCTCCTAGCACTGATGATGTTACCCAGTTGGGTAATGAAATGCCTGCAGGAAAACAACCAAACTCAAAGACCCCACTGCCAAGGACCCCACAGTTTAACCCTGAGCTACAGTGTTTGCTTCTATTGGTACCCCCAATCTCAGAATTCTCAACTAGCACAGTCATTACGGCACTTGCAGGGCTCAATTTGAACTCAGCTCAGGCATGAGCGATTACTTTCTGCTATGTCTTCCAGCAATATTTTGCTGAAGCGCTGAGGGATTCACTTTAGATCCTTTCTCTGTCAAACTTGGCAGGTACAAATACTCAAGCTGTACCTGATATAAAATAATCCCATTTTAGGTGGATGCAAGCAATGAATAGCCAATCTTAAGATGGAGGAAAGTAGCCTCTAAGCTACATCTGCTCTGAAACCCCATTCTGGCAATCTCAAAGCCCCATAGGGTAGCCTTACCACTTCAACTACCAAATGATATACATTTCAATATCCCAATCTTTCATATTTAAAGTAGGCGAACGCAATAAAGGGCTCAGCAGTTGTTGGTGAAATACACCTTTCAGCATCCTTGCTACTGGATACACCAACCGGGTCTGCTGGGAATTGTGACTTAGCAACATCTGGAAGGGTTTTGTTTTTTTTTTTAAAATCTGTGGTCTAGGAGGTATACCTTACCTAGTTGGTGTAAAGATCCTATATTCTCCCCGAAATGAAAGCAGGAAAAGATGTGTCAAATCCTTCAACTTTTAAACTCTGGTGATTTGCACTGTTATCACCAGTTATCCAATGAATAAATGTGGAAAAAACACTTAAAGTAAGCCTTTCGGAATTGGAAATTGCTATCCATGATTAAATGGTTCAACTTGTTTTCAGCAGGAACAATTTCTTTGGATCCAGTCCACTGTATCCACTGACTAAGCTGGCAATCCAAAATTATTGTCCCAAACTGAAAATTTCCCTTAGAAACCACGGTTAAGAAAGAGCATCTGGAGCATTCAACATTTTTCTTCTCTTGTGAAAAATCAAAGCATAAAGAGCCTTATGTGAAAGCAGCCTAGGCTAAATTTAGCTCACTTTTTTGTTTCCAAAATTTTTTCCAAGGTTTAACTCTGCCATCACAGAGAGAAGGGGGTGGGGTGGGGGTTCTCCTTCTGCATTAGGAGAAGCTATAATGGCCTCCGTCTGGGGCTAAATCAGAAGAATTTATAGCGTCTTTGAGAGCTACTGTTATTTCAGCTGCAGAGTTTTAGCTGTAAGCAATTGTTTAATTCTGTCCCATGTAACCTGCGTTCATCCAAAACAGCATTCCTTATTTTGGAGACAGATTTTAACAGATTTTTAACAGATGGGGCAATGATGCAAAAGCCGTGACGTGTTTCATGACATCATCGTGCAAATGATGGGATAACCATAGCACCATTTGCACAATGGCATCATAATACATGTGATATCACTGTGGTTTATATCGGGCATCTATGCAATGCTCCAATATTTGACGGGCTGCCACAAAGAGGAGGGGGTCAACTTATTTTCCAAAGCACCAGAAGGCAGGACAAGAAACAAGGGATGGAAACTAATCAAGGAGAGAAGCAACCTGGAACTAAGGAGAAACTTCTTGACTGTGAGGACAATCAACCAGTGGAACGATTTGCCTCCAGAAGTTGTGGATGCTCCACCACTGGAGGCTTTTAAGAAGAGACTGGTGGACAGCCAGTTGTCTGGATTGGTATACAGTCCACTGCTTGAGCAGGGGGTTGGACTAAAGGACCTCCAAGATCCCTTCCAACTCTGTTATTCTGTTCTGTTATTTCTTATTTGGAATTTCTTGCTGCAGTTCAGTTTCTACAATATCTCAATATTGCTGTCAGAAGCTGTCATTGTTCAACTTGGAAAGTCAGGCAGATGGCTTCTAATACAGTTAACTGATATGATTTAGACACGGCATACATTAATGATGTGACACAAAGCTTTTACTATAATCCAGTAGATTCGGAGAGCTGGGTCTGAATGCAATCTTAAACTACTACAGCAGTGGTTCTCCACCTGTGGGTCGGGACCCCATTTGGGGTCGAATGACCATTTCACGGGGGTCACCAAACAACACAGTCCGCCATTTTTCCCCCTTTTCCTTAGCTGTGCTACTCCCTTTTATTCTATTAGCTTTCGAAAGCCAATAGAATAGACTCTCTTGAATAGAGTCTAATTCTATTGGCTTTCAAAAGCCAATAGGAATTGTCCAGGCTGTCTCTGCCCTGCTGAGCCCACCAAAAGTCCCAGTCTGCAAACGGTGCTGCACCAGTTGAGTAGTCT